ATTCTCCGGCGGGAATGTTTGCCGTTTGTAAGTAATCACATTGACCCTTAACACGAAGTGTGCGCGCGCTGCGAATCATTTGTTGTGGTTTCACTCAATTATTACGACGGATGGCTCGAGACAAAAGAAATCCTACTCAAGTGGGTTTCCTGAACCGCGATCTACCACCTAAGGGAGGTGAAGGAGAGGCCTCGTAAACAAAGGCGGCCGGCAAACAATGCCAGCTACAAGAGCAAACACGACATCCGCCTTTCACAGAGCGCCGCGCATAAAACTGAAGTGCAAGGTACAAGTTCAAAAGAGAGAAAAGACAGCTTTTCTCTGTCTCTCTCTCTCTCTTGACGCCGCGAAACTTAAGTCGCGAGGGGGATGTGTAGCTACGGGAAGTAACGGTGCGCCGAGCCACCCTAGCGTTTAGCGTATGTGTACGTTTTATACGCCAAGTTTCGCTATAAATCACCCCCGTTTTCGCCGGCTAAGTGTGCACGCGCGTTCGCGGCGAACTACCTCGTAACCAGATAAGTGGTTACCGGAGAATCTGTCATGTTCCGTAAACGGTGGATCGTACAACAATAATATAGAGATATATGGTATATATAATTTCTCGATAATTAAACGAATCTCTCTTTCCTCTTTGGCTAATACGCGAAAATAAGGAATCACAAGTCTGCGCGAGATTGAATCTAATTTTCTCGCTTTACTCCTGGAAATTACTACCGTTATTACTACTATTATCTCTGACACTCCGCGAGAGATCCGAATGTATTTTGGGTGACATCTAAGTGACGCTGTCCATTGTGCCTTCCGACTAAATGAGTTAGCCCACCCAGAGGACACCCTTAATCTTCATCTCAAATCTCATTCCATCATCACTGGAATAATAATTACTTCCGAGAATAATTGGCAGGACAAAGAGAACGAGTAAGTATTTCACGAAGATTCGAAGAATAAATAGCGCTGTGTATAATACGCCAGTATCATTTTCAACAACTTATTATCAAGTGCATGGTTGGTAAAGCTCTCTCTCGTAGCTTAAAATTTACTTCTTTTGTAATATAGATTACGAGGGTGTATATAAAACGCGAAATTCTCTCGCAGAAACTTAATTTTCCTCTTTACAGTCTCTCTCTCTCTCTCTCTCTCACATCGATCGACGTATTCGCATTAAAATATCGCCTCCCTCGCGTTATCGAGACACTTCTTCCGCGTGCGAATGACATGCATGAAAAGTAATACAAATTCGATAAGTTTCGCCACAAGGCACTCTCTACATATACGAAATGGAAAGCGGGCGAATTTCTTCGCAATTCCGCGCTTTTCTCTCTTTGTCGAAACCTCGAAGAGGGCTTTTGCATTTCTAATGTTTTTCGGACAGAAAATCGACACATAGGGTCGCGCTGGGAAGAACGGGCCTTTAAAGAAGCGATGAAACAGCTGCAGCCACCTCGAAGGAACGATTCGATGTAGGGATAAAGCGGTTAGCCGGCTACCACCCTGCCTCTTTCTCGCTGCCAAAACGGTGGGAGATGGGTATCTCTGAAAATAGGATTGGTGCTCGGCACGCATTGTGCCGAGAGGACAGTGTCTCTCCACCTCCGGTCTCTTCTGCGTCGCCTTATATTTATAGCTTTCGCCTCTTCCACCGTTCTTCGCGGGCTTAATTCGACCGCTCCCGTAGAAAATACGCTTTTCTTCGCAAGCTGGGAGACGAAAGTAATTCGACGAGCATGCACGGACCTGGGCGGGTGCGCAGGGGCGCCAGGTGTGTCCTGATTTATCATGACTGCTGGAAGTTGACTGGAGCTACGAGCGGACGGCTGCTGTGAATCTCTATCCCGATCGCGCTTCGTGGCTTATTAAAATTTCTGACGCGTCCCAGCAGCCCTGATGTCGATTTTATATATATATATATATATATATATATATATATATATATATATATCGTAGTAGTTCCTACGTCGAGCTTTTTACGGCTTCGTTTATTACCGGTAGACTCAATCTTCTCCTCTCTTTCTATTTTTTTTTCCTCTGAAAGATATACTCGCGTAGGCGTGTATATCGCACGAGAACAAATTGACGAACGAGTCCGATGGAAAGCACGGCACCGAACGCTCTTTTTAGAGGCGAGACGATGTAAATATCTGTAATTCCCGCGTCATTCACGCCGCTAAGCTTTATGGACCGCTTTATTATTGGAGAGAGTGGCTGCGCTCTCTCTCTCTCTCTCTCTCTCTCTCTCTCTCTCTCTCTCTCTCTCTCTCTCTAGTCTCTCGCGCGTTTATTGTACGGTGGAAAGCTTGAAACTCGGGAAGAGAGCAGGAGAAATGTCCAAGGGGAGAGACTATGTACGTGCGTAAAGGTTTAATATCTTTCCTGCATATCAGAATTTACGATTGGATTTGACATAAGCCCCGTGTAGCGAGTAAGCAAGATTTACAGTTTACTTAATGACTCGCGCACTAGCGAGCAAGCGAGCGCACACACGATTCTGGATCGGCATGCTCACCGTTTTTGTGAGGCTGCGCCGTCTAACACGGTTCAGATGTTCCCACGCTAGGCAAGCAGGTGTTGTGGTGAAACCGACGATTAATTATCCGCATCCCATTTAATAGTACGGACGGGTCGATTAATCACGGTACGGCGACTGTTATAACCGATAAAAAGTTTCGTATCCCCGGGAATGCGATCCCAAAACCTTTAAATTGATTTTTGATAGATTATTGCTCGCGAGTATTGTTATTGATATTGAGAGAAAATATTTAAAACGAAATCAGCTTGTGTCAGAATATACCTTCATATTCCATTTATTTCCTATTTCTAATTTAATAAACAAATTCATTTTCACACTAATAAAACAATGAATAAACCTTGCCGCTCTCCATTTATCTATCGCCCTTTCTCTCTCAATTTTTAAAACTCGATATATTTTTAAATAAATGAATAATATCCGCAATATTGTTTACATATTTTCTCGATAAAATTATTGTTGCAGTACTTAAGGTTCGAAAAATTACTACGCAATTTTGAATATGTTCATCACATAACGTATGTATTCATAATACCTATACGCAGTATACAATTTATATAACCTGAAATATGAATCTCTTGAATATTGTATAGAAGCTTTGAGAGAAATCACAAATCATTCAACAGCGATATATTTTTATGACCACCACAATTCGTTAGAAAAAACAATGCTGAAAAAGAGTCAAAATTTTCCTGTAAGGGAAATGAATTATAAATCGATATATCATTATGTTTTTGGACCTGCTGAACTCGAAAATGAAGCTTAATTGGACAATTGTTAACTTTATTTTCATGTTTAGCAAGTCCAAAAACATAAAGATTATAGACAAATTTTGGCCCTTGTTCGGCATTGTTCTTTCAATACTAAGCTTTTTTCGATGCTGTACGCATTATTACTATAAACATTGAAAGGAAAAAAGAAAGAGGTATTTTCGCAAAGTAAAATCCAACGGAATTAATCGCCATATTTTTTCATTTACTAGTGTAAGTCCCGAATCGTTAAACAGCTGAAAAAGAAAAAGTAAGATCCGAAGGAATTGCGTCAAAATTTAATACCGTTGGGAGACGTACGTGCTAACGCTTACTTAATACCTGTTTCACAATATAAGCCGACATTATTAAGCTTCGAGAATATTTCGGAACACTTTCCCAGAAAAATAACAGCATCCTATGGAATGAGAAGGGTGCATTTCATTACAAACTCGCCCGACGAAGGTTCAGACTCATTGGGATTAGGAGTATCGGAGAATTAATTATGAAGACCAAAGCCACGGGGCGAGGAAAAAGTACCGTAATGTATTTACTAGGGAGATGTGGAAGATTTAATTTGTTTAATAACTCTCGGAAAAATGACTCTCAATTATGTGCTCGTTATTGACATTAACGGATCAGCTTTTGTTATATCTCACTTGGCAGAAGTGCCCTTTTTTCTTCTTTAACAATAAACTTTGGTATTTATATTATTTAATCCCACCTTCATCATCCCCTACATAGTATATATGTGTGACATTTATTATATTAAGTATTTATTAACATCTTATTATTATTCTATAATTTTAATATTATACATTAATTATACACACGCGAGCATACTTTTCGTAATAAAACTAATATAATGTGCGCGCATAATTTAGTATTATATTTAATATAAAATTATAGACAATTAATAAAATGTGTATTTTATTAATTTTTATTAATTTTCAGAACAATGTATGGATACAATATGCAAATAATATTACATAGTAACAAATGCGGACCAAAAATGAAACATTTTGAATTTATAATTAATAAAGATACACGGTTAGCAACGACTCACAAATGAATCTTGCAATTCAATATTTTTCATTCCATATGTATCTTTCCGAGTCAAGAGTACAAGAATAAAGAAGTTGTGGAAAAACTTAATAAAAAGATTCTCCTCTAAAAAAAGAAGAGGAAAAAAAGAGGTAAATGGCCTTTCAAGAATAAGAGCACATAATGAACCTTAAAGACCATTCGCTTGCAACTGCTATCGGCGCGCTAAATGTTTAATAAAAGATTTATTTCATTGTGTTTCATGAACTTGTGTAACTAGGTAAGTCTTTCCTCCGTAAATCAACGCAACGCAAGTCTATAAAAGCATCGTATAAACACGGGGCAATTTAACGCGAGTCGATAAAGCCCTATTTTAAGGGCAATGCGCGCCAAGGAGAATGCATATTTAATCAGTCTACCGGATGCAATATCGTAAAACGATGTATATATACACACACACATGTGTATATACCGGAATATAATCGGTAAACAGCTGACCCGAGAAAATCCGTGAACCAAGAACGTCGCTTCGGCAAGCATCGAACTTCCAGCTGACTTATCGCAGGAATACGCGTGCGACTCGTGGTCGACGTGTATCGTATCGTATCGTATCATATTTTTAGGGGATGAGTTCGGGGTTGAGGAGGAACGTGAGGGCGAAGTGAGGGTGGGATACTTACACCGAGCGACGCGAAGTGTCAGTGAGTTTCCTCGGACTTGTGCACATCGACCCGATACACCCGAGCGAATTTTTGTTTGATTGTTGCCACGCACTCTCGTCAAGAATTTCAGCCCGGTGGTCCGCAGCAAAATCTGTACCGGTGGACTTGTCCAATGATGATAGACACGCGATATATCAGGCGGAACACGCACGTCCCATAACGCACTCGGTCCGAGCCAAACTAACGAAATTCTCTCGAATCACCGGAATCCACGTGACTCGCCATGAAGACACCTTGGATTGCCGGGAGAACTTGTCCGACGTACTCCGCTCGTATCCATCAATCGTCTAGAATCTGTCACCGATCCCGGATCGCTCGCCACGCGTGACCGCGGAGAAAAAAGTTTAAGGAGACGCTTTTGTAAAGCGAAAGCTGGAATGCTCGCAAGAGTAGGGAGAAGAGAAGACAGACGATAGCCGAGGAGAGAAAAGACAGAGTGAGAAAGATGGGCTAAGGGAGCTTTTGCGGAGAAAGGGAGAAAAAGAGAGGAACGGGAGAGAGGGAGAAGAGAGAGAGAGAGAGAGACAGAAAGAGAGAAAGAGAAAGAGAGAGAGAGAGGAGAAAGAGAGGAAAAACGAAAGAACCGCGGTCGCTCCCGGAGATTTCGAACTGCACTGCAAACGGGGACCTCAGTCCTTACTGAGCCGGAGTTTGACTACGTACTCGCGGCTGCGAGACTTTGGGGTCTGCGCAGTCGGTCACTCACCACCACCATCGCCACCATTTCCACCACCATATCACTGTCGCCGACGCCGCCGCCACCACCCCAAACCTTCCACCATGGCTCTCTTCTCGACGCCAACCCTATACCTGCCTGCCTGCTCCGCCCGGCAGCGCCCTAACTTCGCTCCGCTGCTGCATGGAGAAAGCCTCGAGTCACGCGTGAGTCGTGATTCTTATTCATATTCGCGGCGAAATTGCGTCGGACCGGGTGAGGATTATTTCGCGGATTACCCGGGCGACTGCGACGAAGTCGAATAGACCCGCTGCTTTATCGGCTTTAGCGTAATAGGAATCGTAATTATCTCTCTCTCTCTTTCGCTCCTACGATGAGTATTTGGCTGGAAATGTTTGCCGGACGCGGCATAATATTGCGCGGATAAATGTCGTTGTCGTAAGCGACGCACGTAAGGGGCACGTTAGCGAAAATCTCGTAATCGTACCTGCTCGTAAATTAATTAAAAATGGTCGGTTTGGTGTCCCGCCCGAGTTCGCATTCTGTAATTACGTTGTTTAATTAATTAAGCGTGTACGGATACGAGCGCGAACGTCGCGGTTGCAGCTTGCACGCGATCATCGCGGAATAATAATTAAAACTTACGGTGCCTAGAATCGGTTTAGAAATTCGTTTTACTTTCTACCATTATACAGCTGCAATTTTTAATTATTACGCCTTGCAATAAACTGTGCTCTTTCGCGGTTTATATAGTATATATATATATATATATATAGCTTGTAATCTAGCCAGCGCGATGCGATAATGATTGCATTAATTATAATATGATAATTATCCGATCAATTATTATATACATGAATAATCTTATAAATATATTAAATCTTGTAAAAAATGTTTAATGGAGCAAAAAGATCAGAAAATTGAGTTATACATATAAAATGTATATCATTATTATACATGATAAATAAATATCTAAAAGCTCTCTTATATCAAATGATCAAATATGTATGACATTTTCCTCTTCTATCTTCCTCTACATATTTATGTGTGCGTTCACTTACTGTATATTCTGTATATATTATGTGACATCAAGTATTTCTATCAATTATATTTTGATAATAATATATTATTCTATAATGATTGAAAATTGAATTTATCTGATTTATATGACTAAACAACGCGTTAAACAAAAATTGTATGTATCGGGAAATATTCTAATTTTTTCTCAATGTTTGAGTTTAATTTTTAAAAGCACCTTCTTCATTATATAATTTCTATAAATATTACTTTTTGTAGAATCTAAATGACATAAATTCGTAAATGAAACTTTGATATTACTGCTAAAGAAAATGTCTATATCAAGTTCATGGTTAAAAAGTTTCCGCTGAGAAACAAGAAGAATCTTGTCCAAAGTAACGCTGACTAAAGTTCGTTGCTCCGTACATGTCCCTGCACATTCTATGGCACATTGGAGCTTTGCCAAAGTCATTCTCACATAATTTCGCGAGAATATAAGACATGAAAAATAGATGAGACTTATATAGACGATATATCCGTCGAAAGTTTATCATGAATATTGCGTCACAAATATTTCGGACATTTGCTTCAAATGTAATTAATAATATTTCATTTTCGTTTTCACTGTTTCGTTTCCACATTTAAATAAAAATTGCAGTATTTAATAAAAACAATAGCACTTGTTTAAAGCAGTAGCAAAAAAAATATGACTTTGCTAAGCATTTTCGCATGTTAAATAAACAATTCATCGTTTTTTTATATTTATTTTCAAATGTTTATCTGCTAAAATATTGAGTATTGATATCCGATTTTACACAAAATACTTTATAGATTCGGGCAATTCAAATGGCATCTCATCGCCATCTGTTGCACCTCTTTATAACAGTCTAGTATCGGTTAATAAAATAAATCAGTCGATAAAATCTGTTGTCATGTGCAAGGCATAATTGTATTCAAAGTATTTATTATTATTATATTATTTAACCATTATGTGCGCGTATGCGTTCCAAAAATACTCCCACAAAATTATTTTAATTTCTGATACTTCGGAGAGACGTTTATGTGTATTGATACACTTTTTTTTATAAACACGTTAAGCAGGAAACAAACCCTATAATGAATATGCTAATACGTCACGTTATCCATACTTATTACTTATTTTCATACAATTATATACTAAATGTATTTCTCGTATAAATCTAATAAGCGCGATATGATTTTCATGTGCACGCGTAAAATATCTGTTTAAAGGAAAAAACAATTTTATAATTGTATGGAATACAAGAGTAACGGGGTACATAAATTGATATTAAAGTAGATGCATAAATAGAGATTACCTGCCAGACAGGTGATCTCTATTCTAAGCCTTGATGCGTACGGCGCACCGTGAATAAACATGATAAAATATAAGAGCAAAATGATATGCATACGTGAAAAATGTGTTTGTACAATATTGCCGGGTATAAAGTAGCATTACCGGTGTACAGTCGCACATTTATAACAATGTGTATATATATATATATATATATATATATCACGTCTAAATATTTAAATATTTTTCTCGAAGCGAAAACTAAACCATTCTAATTTTTTCATCATAACTCCACGAATACAAGTACGTTAAATACAACCGTATAAATAATTATTACCTTCGGGTATTAAAAATTCACTTTTCTATTCTGTAAATATAATATTATATCACAACTAAAACTCAAGTCGCCAAACACTTATTCAAATCGTAACGCTAAACATTAGCGTTGAGAAACGAAGGAAATGATAATCAAGATTTTTCTATATAACTCTATTTATATAGATAATTTTTTTCTCTCCCTCGCTCTCTATTTACCGATTTATCGATGAATCTCTCATTAATCTCCGGGACGTACATTTTCGAGCGGTTGATTCGGAATACTTGACGTTACGTTCCATTAAATGTGCCGTTGCTAGCTCGATTCTCTCGTTAAGCGGCGTTCGAACAAGGGAAAAAGATAAATCCGCGGCACGGATCAGAAAGGGAAAAATTAATCCCCGGGACGATAATTCAACGGGCGCTCAATCGGGAGAGCTAATGTCAATCGCAAAGTTAATCGATGCTCCTCTCATTCGTTACGCCGCTGACACGAGTGGGGTTGGCAGATTCGTTGGTTCTTTCCCTACCCCTTCTCTCCTTGTCAAGTTCACGAGAAATTCCGGAAATTCTCTTCCGGGTTTCGTAATACATTCCCGCGCCAACAATGCGTCTGACCTCCGCGATCGCCAATTTTTAACGAATGCAAATTCTTCGAAACCGAACGGAACGTCGTTCAATCACGCACCGACTGCATGAGCAAACAACTTGTGTGCACAGATGTACAAAGAGAGTGACACGTACCATATCGATTTCCTATTGTTCTCTTCGAATCTGAATACATACGCGCATGTAGCAGCGACGACCCTATGGGGATGCAAATGCATATGCAAGTGCTCACCAGCGCGAACAGCAATCGTATAACTTAAAAAAGCGTCCCTATCTCTTGTATACAATGTATCGATATTAGCAATATAATGTGAAAAACGAAGCTATTAGAAATGCGCATAATGTTTTTTTTTTTTTTTTTTTTATATTCAATTTCATTCGCTTTCACAAACATCTGATTTCCGAATCTCTTTTTTCTCTTTTGACCAATTATATTTCTGCAGTACCAATAAAAAAAATATTTTTATTTAAATTTATTTTTATTATATTGTTTTTTTTATTAAAATTTATTTCATTATGACGCATATTGTAATGAATTTTATGACATGTTAAGTATACGCTATTAATCATGTATTAAACTTATTCGAAGCAGAACATTGGACATTAAAGTTTTGTATTCTACATTTTTATGATGCAGCGCTTTGTCATGATCGAATATCTGAAGCAGCAATTTATTTGCCGATATAGCAGAATGTAGTACTACTAAACTTGATTTGCATTTTATATCTCAGTTATGCACGTTTCTTATTTTATGTCATTAGTCTACAATCTGATTTATACGAAAATGTAAATATATTTCTCTATAACATATATGTATGTAAACGTGCACACTTCTGAGAAATTAATCCTCAAATTAATAATTTCTCTAGTTTGTTCAGTGTTTTCGTCTGCTTCAAATTAATCTCTCTAGTTTAATCAGTCTTCGTCTGTTCAAATATATATCTTATATATTATATGCAAATGTCAGCGGACTCTGATTACAACGTGGATCTTTTAAAAGCTGTAAGCTTTGAAGAAAATCGAAGATCACTGTTTGTTTCGTCGCGTAGCGACGATAAGCCTAAACTAGTTATAATCGAAAACTCGTTTCGGTAAAGAATTCTTAAATAGTTTCATAACTGGCCCCAATCTCAAATTTTCATCCAACCAAGTCGAAGAAGAACGGTCCGGATATACAAGAATATATGTGAGTGTGAAGTGACGGGCTGTGTGACTCGTGAAACTCGTTATTAAATAATCAAGGGGAATAGCTGCAGGTTCACTGGCGACGCCAGTGAAAAACGGATCGTAAAGCTCATTGTGAAATTCTCCTGCACAAATTTAGGTATCAAAAACTATCTCTCTCTGTTAAATCGCAATTATATTTGAATACGTAACAAATCGTAGCTTAAAATAATTATTTATTTATAGACGATATAAAAAATGTCGCCATTCCTACCCAAAATTATTAATCTCGCGTTCGCTCGTGTTTATATTCGTGAGTCTCCATAAAAAAAATCGCGTGTTAGTTATATTAATTCTTTCGAAAAAAGAGGACAAGATAAAATCATCAACAATGAAGAATCTCACTTTACATGCGATCGATATCAACCAGGCATGACACGAGATAAATTGAAAGCGTATACGACAAGTGTGTGATGGCACGTCAGTTTTTCCTATCGTTTATCTCAATTGTTTAACTCATTATATATTGAGAGATGCTCTTTAATTTGAAACCTTGTCTTCCAGCGTCATCTGCAACGTGTACATCGCAGAAACGAGGTACGAGCATGCGCGTGTCTTTTTCCCCCTCTGTGAATCTCTATTCATGTGTGGCCGGTATTAATCAATCAGCTGTTTCAATCGTGAACGTGTTTTTTTACGAATATTCAACGTGCGATCGTCTCGCACTGATCTTGATTTTCAAAGGTGAACGTGAAAAAACGTGAGTACAGTCAATACAATTATTATATATATTTCCTTTCTTGTTAGAAATGATGAGACGCAGTGCGTGTAAATTACAAAATAACAAGTTAATTGCCTGCAATTGCGCAAATGTTCCTGAACATAGAATAATTGCATTGCAACACTATATGTCATACTTATAGAGATCAGAGATATTTAAAATATATGAAAAAAATCGTAACCTTTTTTCCCAGAGTACTCTTAGAAGAATGGTAGTTCAATTAATTACGTCCATTAAATGCAAAAAATTACGCGTCTGACGAAAAAAACTGGAGCATAATGTACCTTACGAGACCTTTAATTATCACAACTCAATGTTACTAATTTTTTTATACTATAGAAGTATATATGTACGGAATATTTCATCCGAGAGATACATTTTTTTACGCACGGAAGCGCATCATTTATAATAATGTTCGCATCGCGTGATTTTCCTCTCGTCAAATGACACGCATCTCGACTCGCAAGCTCTTTACGTTCCAAGACGCATTTAAAAAGAGACGCATTTAATATTGTTGTCGCGCAAGCGCACGTTTGACACATTTCGTCGTGTCCTCCGAGCTTCCTACCCCGGGGTGGTTGTTAGTAAGGGTTGCGTTGCATCGAGCCTCCGAACGTTTGCAAATCGACCGATAATACTCGACCGTATACATGTGCGAGGTTCCTCAAAACCGCTACATCCGCATCCACGGTAAGACTCTCTCTCTCTCTCTCTCTCTCTCTCGCGGAATAAGATGGATCTCTCTGTCGAGGAATTCGTCGCCTCGAGGAATTGAGAGGTTAAGAAAAGCGCGAGGTCAACTTTAATCCGAAGGCAAGGCCGGTTATACACACATATATATGCGAGAGGTGTCTACCCTTAACGTCACGTGATCATTTGTTTATTAATGTTTTTATCTTACGAGAGAACGATACTCTGCAAAATTCTATTATTATACGTTTTTCAACGCGGAATCTTATATATGTATAGAACCAATCTTGAATGCCTTATTCCTTCTCACGGAAGCTCCAGACTTTTCCAGACCTTGACGAAAAGTGCAATACTAACTCCAATTTTTAATGCTTTAAATTAGATGTGCCTAATCATACCTAACTATAATAAATAAATATAAATTATAAATTGTAATTACGATTTTGTATCTTGTAACAAAAATAATATTTCTGTATCACCTCGCTTTTAAAATCACATGAAAAATATATAACACAAAGGAACAAAATCTGCTGTTTTTTAAGACCACATGTAATATACTTAAAATTTCTCCACACAAACGATAGATTTAATAATGCTAAATTAATATGTAATTTAAATTCGTTAAATTAATATAATTGAATGCAAAATAGATGCGCGCGATCGGATTTTGAAAGGAGAATAAAAAAGAGGGTCAGCAAAAAGTGAGTGAAACGAACCGCAAAAAATAGAGGCCGAAAATTCGAACTCGTCGCGTGCATAGTACGCGGATGGAACGAGAGCGCGCCTCGGTAGATTTTAACCCTGAATTCAGTCGGACATGATTTAATTTAACCGCGGCTCTCGGCAATCCGGCCGCTCAATCTATCTCTGTCCACTGACGTGCGCGCGCGAGTCGTCGCGATCATCATCACCTCGCTGTTGTTTTCGTCGATACCGTCGCATCGGTTCTTCTAGGTCTACACGATATCTCCGGTATGTAAAACACGTACTTGTAAATCCTGCATTAATTCTGACAGTCATGCATCGAGCCGGTGAATAGTTAATCAGGAAATAAATTATTCATCTTTTCAACGAATAGTAATTAAAAAGATAAGTATAGAAAAGAATATGTTCAACTCTCTCTTGTTTTCTTATCACGTCCGCTTTGGGCTTTTGCTACAAAATACATGATGATAAAGAATTATATATCCGAGTAATAGCAGATGAAATTTAATCGTGAAACCACCGGAGCTTCCAGCTTAGAGAGCCGCGTGGAGAATAAAAGAAAACTTGAGCAACAATACATATTATAATAAGAAAGTATTAGAAATATATCTATCTATCTCAATCTCTTAGTATTTTAAAAATACGAGAAAAATGTCATATATAAGAAAAAATCTTCAAAAGACGTTCTAATTTTGATAAGTTATTGGACATCTCTTTAGCAAATGTTTAAAATTGTTGCAATCTAGAAAGATCTCTCTTGCTATTTGGTTTGCTAAGTTTCATACATATATTCGCGACGGTAGAGACAGATTACATCCCACTAACGTACTCGTCGCCTTCGTTGTCGCACATCGTTGCGCGTCGCGGGAGCGACGAGGTCCGGAGACCTCGGTGCTCTTTAATGAAATAGCCATCCTGTGGAGTGCGATGAAGTGCGCGAGCAATGAATGAGCATTACGTCGCGAGTAGTGTAGTACGTGGTACATGCATCGCACTGTGAGGCAAAAATACTTTGAAATACTTTTTTCATACCGTAGATTATTTTTACGCGAATTTGATCCTATATTGTGACTCGCGAACAGAGAAATATATTATTTTCTCATAATATTATAATTATCACAATTATTAGCAACCCATTTGGACGAGTAAATATATTCATTATATTTTATATACAATGTTTAATGTCATAAGAATTATTATATAATTTATGTAAGTATTCTTACATACGTCAGGATAAAGTAATAAACAATCCTCATAACATTATATATCCACAGAATTGCAATATTATATAATAAAAGATATTCCCGACTATAGATGCAGACTTTATATGAGACATATTTGATGTATAGAGAATGAGAATAATATTTCAAATAACCTTGTAGCAGAGTCAGTTTTCGATTATAAAGATCGAAGAAATATAAACAAAATATATCGAATCTGTTTCACTTGTGACGAAACAATCTATAACGTGTCGATATCGCAGAACTGCGAGATTCATAACTCTCGTATATGTAAGAAATAGATACTTTGTCACATAAGCATAATGGTGATTATATACAACATATTTTTTCATCTTAATAAATAATCAGAATCTTTCTTTGGAAAAAATATCATTTTGATCAAAGATGTATATCATCGAGATATAATCTTTTTCTTCGATATAATCATCCTATTATAGAGAATTTTTGTTAATAATAATTTCTAAACTCGGTGTTAATTTTTGAAATCCTTGATTATAAAATTTGAGATACTTAAACAAAAATTTCATACCTATACGTGCAATATATTATTGATAACTAAAAAAATATTATTCTGTAAAATAATTTCTTTCATTTTGTGTAAATATTTTTTAACATGAGAAATCAATTATAAATATGTTTAATTATTAAAGTAAAGTTATATGTGTTCACGTTATATACATCAGAGTTTTGCAATATACGATAAAAGCATTGCCTAGAACAATCAACTAGAGTAATCAACTGATTTGAAATTTTCCAGTAGAGTCGAAAAAGCGAATGTTGTAACTTCAATAAAATTTCATTTACGTTCATTAACATTCATTCAAAACCAAATATAGTCAAATCCAATCAGTATAGACAAAAGCCCGAGGTACATTTAGTCGGAATCAATTTTTTTAATTTATGATGTTTACAAGATACAAAAAATTGAGTTACTATAATAATATATGTTATAATAATATTATTCCTGACCAATGATATTAAGACATTTTTATATATATAATATTAATTATAAATCTCCACATTATTATGTAATAAAATAAATTTAATTTCATATTACGTGGAAAAGCGTAAATAAAGGCATATTTTTAGCTGTATTAAACATTCCTACAATACCATTTTACGTATCAAACGACATGTATCTTTGTCGCATTTAGTCGCATTGTATATTCGTTATTTAACGTTTGGTTCCTAAATTGAACAGCCTGCACTATTTCTATTGTACGGGAAGGTCTTTCAAAAGCGGTAAACGTTGCAATTAGCACTCGTACTTTTCTATTTCCGTGAATAGGTAGCATATAATATAATGTATGTCTATATATATATATATGAAATGCAGTTTGCACGCATAATGCAATTCGGTATTCTCTGAAAAAGTATATGAGTTATCCATTTGCGCACAAGTATCGCTTTTACAGAACATCTGCCAATTTGTATAATGATATTACGAAGTATTCTTATGCAATGGCTAGTACAACTCACAGAATAGAGAGACTTTGATGTGCGAAATTTAATAAACTCAGCTCTCTCAAAACGACGATAAAACGATATAAGGCCATTTCTCTTTGCCACTCTTCTCTTTTAGGTCAATAAAAACAGTATTATATAAAATTGTATTCTCTCTTTTTAAAAGAAATAAATGATTTTTATGGAATTTAACACACTTTAACAAAAATTAAAATATATAATTCTTTGATTATCTTTACGTTTCAATTTATTTATATTTGATTAAAATCACGAAGACTCTTTTTACGCCGTGTGAAAATTTATTGATGCCTCGACAATTTTATTATAGAAAAATTATTTGAATTTTCGAACAAAACTAATGTAATTTATATGCAAAGTAAAATGCATAATATTAAAAGAATTGAATTGCTTAATTTTTATTATATAACAAAAGTCTCGTAAAAGTATAGCTATAATATAAGCAGTAACTTACGAAATCAAAATAATATTGTTAAATAACTGCATTCGTGATTGCATTACAATATAATAATGCGAAATTCAATTTAATGTCTCATCCCAGAACATATACGAGTAATCTTATTATAGCATTCCATTAAATGCATTTGCTAATAACAAAATAAACGTAATGACGTAATAAATCATAACATATTAATTTAACAAAGTGCTTATTCTTTACTGTCATATATTTACGATAAAATATTCTTTTCACGTTGCATTTATTATTCTTCACAAGACAGACGACGTCTAAAATATTTATATAACATCGAAACTTGTAATGTTATTTATAAAACACATAACGTAAAATGTTTCGTTTGATAAAAATCAATCTAAAAATTTTAATTATAAACAAATTTCATTATTCTTTTATCATAACTAACTGTACCATCTTGTTTTGCTTTTATGATCTGAGGGCGGCTTCAATGCTCTATAATCATCTCTCGTCAACAATATCATTCCCCAGAGACATCCACTTTACTCATTTAGATGTAGACAGTGATATTGATTTGGCAAGTATACCCTCAATGAGAATAATGACACTCAATGCGTTAGATGTCGTTGTTCAACAACACATCGGTCTCAAATTATTTGAACAGAAAGATCAATATCGAATTATTAACTGCATATATCACAAGAGGAAGAGAGAGAAAGAAAAAGAGACACTGCAAGAATAAAGAATTTTACAAACGCTTCCGCCATCGCGTAAATTCCGCTTCAAGAATTCCGAAGAACCTACCGTCTGAAAAATCCCTGGTCAAAACCGTTCAAGAAAAGTGACACTTATTCGCAAAAAAAAAAAAAAAAAAACATGTATCTCGCTTGCAGTTTGAATGTAAATGACTTTACCCCGCGCGGCGTTTTTTCGCACGGGGGTTCTATGGGGAAGAAACGACATCCGAAAACTGAGAAATCCCGGCGCCAAAGGCGAGGGCGAGAGCGAGAGATATTGCGCGGGATGGTTGGCAGTTTCCCGAAAAGGCGAATGTGTACGTAATGGTTCGCTCGCTCGCGGCCGAGGAGACGGGAGATTTCGCGGGAATAAAGGGTGGCTTTTCTCGCCGGTGCAGCCGAGCGTGTTACGTACCATTCTGGCGGAAAGCCCTGTTCCGACTTCGTAGAGAAGTTGTCTACCGGCCAAAGGCGTCGACGTGTTTCTTTGTAATGCATTTCGCCGGCATAAAAAGTTAGTCGAACGTGATTCGTCATCGCGATGAATGGGATCGTATTCGCGATCTAACGACTCTCTCGCTACGACCCTCGAGCTGACTCATTTACATTAATTTGGATCGAGACGTCAAGTTGTTAGAACTAGGAAATATATCAGCTCAGTATTTCAGCTCGTATTTCACGAGAGAAAGAAATATAAATTTTCCTAAAACTCGTATATATTATAATACAGCGATATTTTATATCGCTGTACAAATTATATAATATGTTAAAGAATTTATTTTTTGTGATGTACAATTCTTGTAAAAAAATTATATAATATTAAAAATTCTCCGTGTAAATGCAGATATTATTTATATATGAAAATCCGACTAATCTTTTAATCTTTTTCTGTTAATATAGATTACAATGGCGAAAATAACAAGAGCGCTGTATCTATTTACGGTATATTTGGTTGTTACGACATTTGCCTTGAACGCTGAAGAACTGCTGGAGCAAGAATGCCCCGTAGATTGCCATTGTCACTACTTTCGCATCAACTGGGTGACGGACTGTTCGGATAGCAATCTTACGAGCATCCCGTACAACGAGCTTAGCCCTACTGTCTATATTTTAGACATGAATGATAATAATATCGCAAACGTCGACCCGTTTCCGAGTTCAATCCATTTGAGGCGCCTCCAGATGGCACATAACCAACTAACGGAGCTGACATACGAATCCTTCGCCGGATTAACGTATCTATTGGATGCAGATTTCTCGTATAACGCCATTACGCATGTGGATCCTGAAGCGTTTCGGTAAGACAATTCGATATCAATCATACTTTCGCTAATACAATCGTATTTTCGAGCAGAGATAATTTTATCAGTAATGATATAATGAAATTAATTCCACAGGGATAGCCCGGGTCTAATTACATTGGAGCTTCAACATAATCCTTTGGAGGAAGTTGAAGGACATTTCCTGAATTGCCGCACGTTGCTGTACCTCGATCTAAATTCATGCGGTATCCGTCATCTCAACACACGCTTCTTCCACAACACGACGAATTTGAATAAGCTCGATTTGTCGCACAATCCTCTACAAAGAATAGAACCAGGCCCCTTCGATCATCTAACGAATTTGGAATACCTCACGTTGAACGGATGCAATTTAACCTACATATCTCCCGAAGCTTTTTCGCATTTGGAAACTTTGCGACAATTAGAAATAGCAGACAATGAATTGAAGACACTGAATTGGAGGAGCGTTCTCACGCCGTTAGTGCGCTTGGAACATCTAGATATCAGTAGCACCGGAATTACGAATCTACCGGGTGATGCCTTCGCTAAAAACTTGTATCTCCGTCAATTGGTCCTCGCGAATAATGAATTGTGGCATTTGGATGTCGAAGATACGCTCGGACACAATCTGCACAGTCTTCAATCTCTGGATTTGTCGTATTGCAATTTACAAGATCGCCTATCCGAGGAAGCGTTCACAAACGCGAGTAAACTACGCGTACTCAATCTGAGCGGTAATCCGATGTTCGCCAGCGATTTAACCACCGTTCTCCGTCATCTACCCAAGCTTCATAAACTCTCCCTTAGCAACTGCAGTCTTCGAAGATTACCGGACGCCTTCGATGTGTTCGAACACCTCGAGGAACTCGATATCTCTCATAATCCGCTATCCGACGCATTCGTCAGTCTCCTCAACCCATTAACATCTTTGGAATATTTGGATATGTCTTACTGCGATCTCGGTCACGTTGGAAACAATACTTTCGCGCAAATGACTTTTCTCAAGCAGCTAATTCTTTCGGGGAACGAGCTTCATACCTTAGAGGAAGGATTGTTCGCGAATCTGACGCGTTTGGAAAGTTTGGAGCTCAATAACTGCGACCTGAAGATACCCCTCGATCCAAAAGTCTTCGGTGATCATGACTCAACAAATATAGTGGAGCTCAAACTCAGCGGCAACCCGCTCATCGTACCTGACGAAGGCTCACTGCTTGCAACGCAACTATCTAACGTGGAGATTTTGGATCTGAGCAATTGCGGTATCTCGCACTTGAATGAAGACATATTTAGCACGACGAATAATCTCACTCAATTGAATCTTTCGGGAAATACCATCTCTGGCGTGGAGAATCTGAGCTCTCTGAAGGAACTGCACGCGTTAGAACACATAGACCTCAGTAATAACAAATTGCGCACGGTTAATCCTAAAGTATTCGAGTCGAATCCGCGTTTACTCTCGATCAATCTTATGGGAAACCCGTTTATTTGCAATTGTTCCATCGTGGAGACTTGGGACTGGGCCGTGCACGAGAAAGGTGATCTTCACGTACTCGTTGGCAGTCAACCGGCCAATTTCGAAACCGGCTCCGTGAAGCGAAGGAAGAATCTCTCCTGCGTCTACGACGAGGAAACTTATCGAAACATGATAGACGGAAATCAGGCAACCCCGACTCGCAAACATTACCCTAGTCAATTTACGCCCTCTCGTACTTGGGCTAAGTACGTTCGTGAGTCTAATTGTAATCGACGTTCATGATACACGGCGATCAACCGTCAGCATCCGATGCTGAACGTCTACAATACTAATAAGGTACGTAGACACGGAGAGGAACTTTGAGCGAGAGAGAGAGAGTTCCGTACTGCTAAATACATTATATCGTACAAGCCATAAATTAATATAGCGATGTCGTGAAATTTATATTTCTGTGGCATTATTTTTATAGTCATAGGATTAAGACAAATACGGAGTTTATGCATTAGAAAATATAAAAAGCAAAGTCCGCATTTTGAAATGTTACTAAGTCAAATACTCGGTTTTTTTTGTGTGTATATATATATATATATATATATATATATATATACACTTCTCTCTTTTTGTATATAGTATGTTATAATAATTTTTCATCTCCGTCAAACATTATATTTTCATGTGTCCAACCCAACAATAAAATAATATATTTAGTCAAGTGTTAGTATAATCAGCTGCCAATGATAAAAATAGCGAAAGTTGAAAAATTCAAAGAATTAAACTAAAGTTTTACATATCTCTAAAAAAATGTTATATATATATTTATTACTAAAGATAGACTTTTATACTATATTAAATATATAAATTAAATTAATTATTTCATAATTTTAATCAGATACACCACTTGTAAAAATTTAATGTTTTTATATCAGAAAGAATATAAAAGGCTTTTTATAAGAAGCAAAAATAACAAATAATTATTTAATAGATAAAACTTGTAAAGTACCTTCGCATCGATATGTAAAATTACGCAAATGTTTCGTAATTATCTGTTTTTTTCATAAACATATGCAATTACCTTTTATTAAATATAATCTCATTATCTTGATTTAATGCAATTTTATTTATATGTTTAAAGTATTTAAATCTCTTGGCAACTCTAGTTGTAAATGTTAAATCAAAAAATATAATTACTAAAATACCTGTTTGTGATAAATAAAATTGTAATTAGTAATACGAAAAATTCAGTTTTATGTTATAATTACAATGTAACATAATAAATTTTCGTTATCATATGGTTAACGAAATGCACTTTATTTTATTATCTAAAATTTTTTCAACTATATGTTTGACGGATAAAATTCGAAATTCTAGAAGATATGCAGTAACAAAATTTTTTATGATTAATAATTAAATGCAATTGCATGTTCACATATATGCATGCAATATATACACACATATAAATACAACTGCGCCATAATCATAGCGTGTGAGTATGTGACCATGAGCACTAAATAAGAGATCTCCCCCTATTGGAATTTTACAATAGCTACTATGGAAAATGTCTGATTATGTACGAATTGTAACGATAATTATCGTTAGAAGTTGATTTGCCATCGTATCCAACTGTTACACAGAAATGATCTTCGTCTTTAATTTGCTATTGCTTCACGTATATTCAGTGCCTCACCTATGTATTTAGTTAATTAAGCAACCTTAGTCTTCGTTATATAACTACTTCTACAACAAGTTTATGATGCGCGAAATTATCGCGCAAGCAGATCTGCACCAAAAATAAAAATTTATTAACATGACTAAATCTTTCAACTAAATTATTATTTTGTTAATTGACTATATATTAGTATTTAATTCAAATATACGTTTTGTGTCAGATTTAATATATTATATTTAATTTAAAGATCTTTAGATGTTCAATGTTAACAAAGTAATATTTAGTTGAAAGTTTAGTCAAGTTAAGAAATTTTTTTTCAGAGTGTAAACTATAAAATTGATGCAAAGTTAATCATAAAATTTATTGCATTTTTAAAACTTGTCGATATATTTTATACTTATTATATTATATATGTTAAAACAATGCTTTGCTATAATATTTATGTTTTGATCATAAAATTAAAGACAATTATTTAAAAGTAAGATGAAATTTCAAGTTTCCTTATAAATGTCTTGAAAAAAGATTTAAGGTTTTATCAAAAACTTTTTCATAAATTATACCAAATTATATGTATGATACATGAGTCTGCAAAATATGTGTGCCATATTAATGTCTGATATTCTTTTTTTGAAGAAGCTTACAAAGTTAAATTTTTGCGATATATAATCATGTTAGATTCGCAAATTGAATGAAAAATTAATATGCTAATTTGTACACAAAAAAATCTCGCATTTATAATATTTTTAACATTTTAAATTATTATTTTTATCAGTCAATATGTTGAAAGTAATTCTTATTGTTGAGGAAAGTTGAGTTTATGCAAAAAAATTATGACTATATTATTATACTATTAGATATTCTGTCAATCAATTGCATTATATATATTAACATATAAAAGGATTACAATATGTATGTGATAATTATGCCTTTATCTATATTTTTCAACAGCAAAATATTCACAATCTCATCAGTCTTAAAGAAAATTATCTCCGACTGTCCTTTAAAGACAATTATCTCGACTGTCCTTTTTATCATGCTGATAATATTAGCATTAATTATATGCTTTAAATGCAACAAGAGTTAAAATGTTTTTTTGCTTGTGTGTTTTTTCTTAGTATGTAAATTGCAATCTATGATTACGTTTAAATAATATTTAGAAAATAAGGGATTAATTCCATTTTAAATATCGATTTATTGATTTAAGATTGATCAAAGTAAAAAAGAAAGTAAAGAGATATATATGTAGAAAGAGATGCATTTCTCTCACTTTCACATTCGATCGAGGTTGGTCATTTAAATCTTTAATGTAACAACCTAAATACATTCTCAGATTATATTCACGAAATGTAAAAGACTGTATTTAATAAAACTATAATTCTTCTTGGTATATGTATTCTCTCTTATTTCATTCTCTCTCGAATAATAAAGCTGATCCCTATAGGTCATGATTGATATAAATGTGCTGATATAAATAAGCTCAGTCAGATTTTTTAACAAATGTTAATAATAATGAAATATTCGATAAGCTTTTTAATACAACCTTGAAACAACAGTGGCAATTATCTATTTTTATTTTACATTAGAGATTAACTGTAGCGCCTTGTTATTGCGCGATAAACGTCTGTTTAACTCTATTGAATTGATAAGCATTCGAATGGGGAAAATCCTGCGTATAGAAAAATTATTTGAAAATAATCTGGATTAAATGAATTCCGAATATCTTTCTTAACTCTCCAGTTAGCAGGTGCTGCCGGTATATGCGCGAGTGCAATGAATTCAGCAATGTCGCGTGGATACCAGCGAGGCGCGATCGTCCGTCATTGATCGCTCATAGTACGTACATGGTAAAATCGTCTTGACCTCGAGGAACCTGAACAATCGTGAGACTGCACAGACACAATCGGGAATCAATCCGCGAGAGTGAACCAGTGCAACGATACCGCGGCAAACGTTACGGTGTGCATTTCTCTCTGCGCATAGTTCGTATCAGAATCGTATTGACTTTTCTTAAGACCCAAAATTTTTTCAATTTCCAAATGTCAAAATACATGTATATAAAAATGTGGATAATTAAACTTAATAAATGTTATAATAATATATTCACTCTCTCTTTCTCTCTCTCTATTGAATAATAATATAACAAACAACATATATGTTGCTTAATAATTCTGTCCTTTTTAAATCTCTTGTATACAATTATTTCAATTTGTAAAATTTCTTATAATAAGAATTAGATCTTGTATAAATAAATATCTATGTGCATATATGTATATATGTGCACATAAATATTTATTATTATCTGTCTTAATTTTGCATAATTATTAGTAGCATTTAAATAATGATTTTGTATTTATTTTTCATAGTGATGTATGTTAGTATTATATTTTAAATTGTAAAAATTGATAAAATTATACAATTTATTTGCATTTTTTGTAATAATACGATTTCTGCGGCGTTCCTGCAGGCTACCGTTTAACGTAAGTACGGCTCTGATACGGTATCGTTGCATAATAGTCCGCATCGTGCTGTCATGCTCACGTTGCGACGAAGCATACACGTGCATATCCCAGTGAAACGCGGAATGTGTTTGTGATTAAATCGAAAATTGTGACTGTCTTTACTTGTTAATATCAATTATCGTCATCATAATTAATACGTGAATATTGAAAAAAATGAATTTTACATCAGATATGAAGTTTGCATACGCGTATACATAAAGGTTTTCGTAAGCGAATAAAATTTGCATTACAGGAATTTATTAAGACTGTATTATTTATTTCAAAAAAGCTTCTGACTGTTTATTGGTATGACTTTTATAAATTGTATATTTAAAGGAAGCAACAATGTGATTTATTTTCTCGTTAAATAAATTAATTTTTTGAGTGTCATCGTACGCGTTCAGTGATATGGATCGATGATTATATACCTATAGACTTTTACAAATTCATATTATATAACGCATAAATGGTGATATGCAAAAAAGAATTATTAATTCCGTCGTGCAGAAAGATACCTATATGTTTTTGCATAATTTCTCACTTTTGACATTATAATCCAGACGGATTCAAGAGTCGACTGTAAATATTTGTAAGCGGAAATATATTTTTTCATCAGATATACATCAAGACTCCGATCGTATCAGCTCTATACCACGACGCATGCGTGAGACGGACTCGTTCGCGCGCACGTGATCAAACCTTGGATACATTTATGGTATTTTTGTCTCTGGTCTATTGGTACCGATTCATCGTATCGTTCAGCCGATTAATCAGTCAGCCGGCCGTCCAATTATCCATGCGGCATGCGCGCGGCAGCGAGACTTCCTTCGCCGGCTTTGACTCACGACTGCCACTTCGTAAGTGCCGGTTATCAGCAAGCAAAGTCCGTCGACGGACCTCAACTTGAGTCTGTCAGTTTCGCGTCGCTTGCCTTCGCTGCCTGTATCTGGTGCCTCTATATTAGGTAGTCGCGCGCGCTACGATGGACCTCTTCGAGAACATCCCATGTATCCCCAAGTTGTATTACGGAGCGTTACTGGCAGTCGGTTTCTGTATTTATTATCTCTGCGAGGTCGTCAAGGTGAGTAAAAGCGCGATCAATTCTTTTATCCGATCGATCAATCGCGTTTATCAAAAATTGCTACATCACACAAGATACATTTTAGAAAATAATCGAGAGAGAAAGCGAAGTTCGATTAATCGCGGCACGTTAAAATCGATTGCATTTGGTTCGATCTAGAAAGTTTTAAAAACTTCCACTCTTACGTGACGCACGTAATTTACGTGACGGAGAACATTTCGTAATAAAGAACAACATGAGAAATTAACCAATTATGTATACACGGTAGATTCCATAAATGACGCCTACCTCGTTCAACAGATCAGAAACTTTATCTTTAATTAAATACAATTGCAATCGTGATGGTTACGCACGAGTGACGGAGAGATGTCGGGGCAATCTGCCATATTTTTTTAAGCAATAGTAAAAAAGTAATAATAAAAAATAAAGTAACACATGTGCGTCAGAATCTGACGCAGCATTAATGTTATATGCATATTCCTTCATTTTCATATATATTGTCCAAAAAAATATCCATTACATTGAAGCAATTTAAGCATATTAAGCAGTTCATGCATATTTTTTATTATTCGCTCACCGTGCATCGAAATGGTTACAATCACGTATACAATTCGATACCATGTATTTCAATCTCTCAAATTAAAATATCAGATATCGAAATCACGCCTAAACATCGTACATAAATAATATTCGTAATTAGTTCTTCATTAATATAAAATATGAAGATAAATGTTTGATAGAGATTTAAAATAAAATTTGAAAATTAAATATGAATTATAATACCCATGAATAAAAAAATGCTTTTGTATTTTTTATTAACGACATGAATATACGATTAGGTATATATTTGCCTATTCGTGTTTAGTATTAGCCATAACAACATGATGCTAGATATACGTAAATACGATCTGCAAAGATGTACTTTTTCAGAGCATAAGAAGAGTAGAAAACTAAATCAGCTAATCATTAAAGGGTTTTAAATTTGATGAAATAATGGAGATATAATGGAAATAATGGATATATAAATATATAACATGCGCGAAAACCCGATGAATCTATCCGCATACGATAAACTTTAAAATACAACAACTTATCGTTATACCTCGTGAACACGCGCTATGCATTCATTGACTAAAAGATTCAGAGCAATGTAGTTAAATAGTGTCAGCTAGCGGCACCTTTTATATGCATCAACATTTATTTGTCCTGAATGGAGAACTAATCGCAAAATGAAATAATTTGCCTACTCATTTAAATCTCGCTACTCGATCGTACAATATACATATTTTGTATGTATATATTTTATATGTATGTGCTATATACACGCACAGTGTCCTTAAATTCGCGAATCAAAATACCGTAACAGAAAAGTTTTCTAAAAAATAAATAAAAAGTATTTGCTATTTTTCATTCCAAATAATTTTTAAAGTAAAAATGTTTTAAACTGGCAATTATAAATTTTATGATTACATGAAAGCCTAAAAGCATGATCATTAACATCACTGACTCACGGACAGACGTCCATTTAATCATAATTATTTAAGTCTGTAATTGGCCAGTTTTAAACATTTTTACCTCAAAAGCACTATTTCAAATGAAAAATGGCAAGTACTTTTTAAATTTATTTTTTCAAGAACTTTCTTCCTAATGATATTTTGATTCACAAATTTCAGGACACTCTGAAATATACATATAGTGTATAAAGTTAAAGAATTTTATTTGATGTCTTTTGTGACTTGACTTATTCAACCGAAAAGTTTCAAAAAGTTTGATAATAATAAAAATATAATGACGGGAAACAGTTTACTTTGAAAAAAATAGTATTAAAATATAAATTTTATTTAAATTTTACATTTTCGTATACGACATTATATTTATTATTTGTTTATACATATTATATATAAACAAAAATTTATATTTTATTATAATCGAGCTGTTTTTAAAACTTTTCGATTGAAAAATTCAAGTCACAAAAGATATCAATTAAGATTCGTTAACATAACTTTAAGAACTTTAAGAACAGTTTGGGAACGATAACACTATAATTTTTTCTTTATAAGCATCTTTTAGTATTTTCATAATTCTTATCATTTCTCCCATCAACTTTATAACAATAAGAAATTTAAAGTAAAGATATTCTTTAATTTTTTTAAATAATTACTTGACGTATCGACATCTTATATTTATATCAATAAAAAATCATTTGTTATTATAAGTATTATATTATTATCGTTAACAAATTATCGGAATCAAATAATTATGAAATAATATGTGGAGATGAAATAATTAATTACATGTCTTTTATCGTACATTTACTGTTATCAGTTGAAGAATGCAAAGTATATCTACTAATTTAATTATCAGATCATTTAACTGTATTTTATTTATCTCACACGCATTTGTATCTACATTTTTCAATTAAAAAAAAATACATAATTATACAACCCATGGGAGTAAAAATATCAGTGACTGTTGGCATAAAAATTGTATTTTTATGAAAAATAAATTCAAAGTAAGTAGTTAATTTTATATCAAAAAATTAGTCAAAATATTTATAATAAATATCCATAAGTAAAATTATTTGCATAAAGCATTTCCATATATTTTCATAAAACGCGGTATACGAATTTGATTATATATCTATATATACAGACAGGATTTCCGTGATACGTGTTCGAACTGTCACACGACCCTCGATAGATAGACGAGGAAAGATGCAATTTATTAATTTGACCTTAAAACTGCGAGGCAGTTGTCCTGTACATGCGTCAGCAGGTGAAGTAACAAGCATGAAATAACTAGTTGCAAACTACTTACTATTATACTAGTGGTACAGATATTAATAATATGGATGAATTAAAAATTTTAATTAATAAATTTTATCTCGTAAAAGCAGCGTGTGATGCTAATGTATTATATACGTGTACCGAAATTCGCGAAATTAAAATACTTATAACAAGAAAATTATTGAAAAGACAAACTAAAAAAGTAGTTGCCATTTTTCATTTCAAACAGTAGGTTTTTAGGTAAAAATGTTTAAAATTGACTAATTATAAGTTAAACTTAAACAATTATGATTAAATGGACGCCTGTCCGTGAGTAGATGGTGATAGTGACCACGTGCTTTAGGTTTCCATTTCGTAATCTATAATTGACCAGTTTACAACATTTTTATTCGTAACAACTAAGATTTTGATTTTTATTTTTATTTAAACTACTGTTTGGAATAAAAAATGGCAAATACTTTTGAAAATTATTTTTTCGAAAACTATCTTGTTACGGATATTCTGATTCGCAAAATTTCGGGAATTTCTATATGTATGAATAAGATGTAAAAAAAAGGAATACAGAATACATATTACTTGGTCTGAAATACGTATTTTATATCTTTCTTTTTTGGTTTATTCATTTTTTAATATTATTTTCCATAACATGAAAGCAAATACTCCAATTTTAAACAACAAATATTTAACATTTCTGAAACAAAAAATAAATAAAATTGCTTCAATAAATAAGATCACAAAAATTTGCTCCGTTTTATTCTTGTGACTCAATTGAGATTCTATTTAATTATTGTGCATCCTTGATTTATGTAAATTATATAATATGTAGTGAGGGAATTAGTGGCGCACAAACAAAAATTGTTTTATTTGCGCGGCAATATAATTATATATAATAAGTGCATTCATAATTCATGATTTAATAGAAGTTCACTTGATCCATCGCGCAATTTCATTGTCACGAACGGTGAAATAAATCACACGATCACATATAAGTTATTCATCAATGAGATCAATTGTCAGACAATGAATAATATATAAAACATAATGCAGTCTTACGATTATGCAATCGTATTCGTGTCACACCGTGCAAATCAATAAAAAAAAAACTATGTATTACGATTTCAGACACCCTTGCTGGTTTCTGCCGATGGGCCATTCCGATTATTTTTGGAAGCGAATATTCCGCTCGTACAAAATAAATTCTGGCCGACATTATGGTGCTTCGAATCGCGAGCGCAGACCATTTTAGCCAGTATCCTAAGATCCCGATTATTACCGCCTGTCAAATATCGCAGGTTAGTAAAAAAAATAGTAGAGAAAAATTGTTGGTCAAAAGAGAGAGAAAAAAATGATTTCTTAAATGTTTGAAAAGTAAATGGTGTGATCAATCATGTAACATACCAAATTCTACTTTGTAATATTGTCTCTATATTATGTAGAGAAATTCTAACTTTGCGCGACGGTGGTGAAGTGGCATTGGATTGGGCCGAAAAAGATTGCTCCGTTACTTCGCCTATCGTTATCATTTTACCTGGTCTTACGGGTGGTAGTCAAGCGGAATATGTCAAATGTTTGGTATCAGCCGCAAGAAAAATTGGAATACGATGTGTGACTTTCAACAATAGAGGTTTAGGCGGGATGAAATTGAAGGTAGAGTTTATTAAATAACTCTTCGAGCCTAGCTAATTCTACACAGAGAACATTTTCTCGTTAGAATATACCGAAAATCATGGTAATCGTGGGACAATATGATATTGGAAGAATTTTATAAGTTTTTCTGATTAGTATTTATCACATAATAAAAATATTAATATCTATCACAATAAGATATAAAATATACTCGATTAATTTTACTATGTATATGTGTAATAAAATTTACTATGTACCTATTAATATTTTTTACTGTGATAAAGATTAATCAGAGAAACTCTTATAAAATTCTTCCAATATCGTATTGTCCCACGATTTTCAGGGTAAATTCTAAAAGAAAGTACTCTCCGTGTATAGAGATATGATTTAAAAAATGCAATTACATCTATTGTGAAAAGCGTCTTTTCAATAAAAAATTTGATGCTTTTTGTTACTTTTAGACCCCGCGAACGTATTGTGCTGCTAATTATGATGACTTAAGTGAAGTTGTAGAACACGTAAGGAAACTTCATCCTCACGTACCCCTCGGAGCAACTGGAATCTCCATGGGAGGGTAATGATCATATTTTCTAATTATATTGTTTTCAAATTGTAAATTTTGTAGTAACATATGTATATCTCGAGAATGTTTGGCAAAAAATATGTAAAATACATTTATAAATTGAATTATTTGCATAGTTTTTATTAATAGTTTTTCCTGTGCACAGGTTGATCTTAGGCAATTATTTGTCACGAGAAGGCTCAACAGCAAGAACAAAATTAAAAGCATGTCTTATTATCTCAGTACCGTGGAACGTGTTCGAAGCAACAAAGAATACCGAAGAAAATTACTTTAATTTAATGCTGAATAAACATCTAGCTAGTAATCTACGTCGTACGATAGAACAATATCATACTTCTGATGTTGGACCTTTCGAAAGCATAGATTTTGAAACGCTTCTAAAGGTACGTTTATTAAATTTGGATATATTATAAAATCGAACTATATCGCGAAAATTTTTACTTTTTTTGGCATATATAAAAATTTTATATTTTGTCTAAATAATTTGATGGATTATTTCACACTCTGTGAATAGTAGTTTATATATTTCGCCTTGCCCTACTTCTTATAAATTCCTTTCACCGTGATATATTCACCATTAGTTATATCTTAATGAACTTTTTCATAAATAAACAACTTTAGAATTTTAAATCAAAATGAAACAAGAGATTAATTCGGGATATATATATATATATATATATATATATATATATATATATATTTGTGTGATATTGTGAGACTCTTGTTATCGTCTATGTATAGTCTTCTGACAAGCATATTTGATTCATAAATGAATAATTATTGTTTGACAGAGCCAAACAATAAGAGAGTTTGATTCGCATTTTACGGCAAAGCACTTTGGATATAAAAACGTCGATGAATATTATCGCGCCGCAACGCTCAATGAAAAATTGCAACTGATCGAAGTTCCTACCTTGTGTCTCAGCGCAGCGGATGATCCATTTCAACCTCTGGAAGGTAAGCTAGATTCTTTATAACTATATTATATTTTTACACAAATTTACTCATATAAAAAACTATAAATTTTCAGCGATACCTCTGAAAGAAATACGCAAAACCAAAAACGTGGCCGTAGTAGTAACGTCACGTGGGGGACATATTGGTTTTCTAGAAGGTGTTTGGCCAGTCAAGGAGGAACAGTATATGGGAAAATTCTTTTCGCAATTTTTCGCGGCCATGTTCACCAGCGGTTTTGACCACTAGCAAAATATTTGATGCAATTTATAGATCAAGTACACGATACATCACATATATCAATGTTGATTGTCTCGCTATCGTCGAAAGATACGAGTTACGATATTGTTTATCTGTTTTAATTTTTCCATAAATTGAAGCGTGATCGTATATATTTTAATTAAAATAATTTCTCATTACATTCCGATATCACATTTTAACGTAAAGCTTGGAACTAAAGTTATACTTTAGTCGCTTAGAAAGTGTAAATAATTCCAAGTTCTGTTACATTTTATTATGATTATTAAATGAATTCAATGTTTATTGAATAAAAGTGTTTGCCAATTTTAATATTGCAATTTTAGCAATAGTGAACACACATTGAATTTATCCTCGGGTATATCAATAGTTAATAAAAATTGACTTTTATAAGAATCTATATTGTTATTATGCTCTCTATTTTCTCTCCCATATCATCGTTTTAATACATTAAATTATATCTTTATTATATGATAAAACTAAAAGATTATTTTTTATTGTCGTATTCCTATGTTATTTTTATAACTTTTTTTTAAAAAAGAAAAATTTAATTTTTTTTCCCACATTGAATTCTTTAATAACCAATTGCGTTAAAGCCAATATATCTTATTTTCAATGTTTCTTATTTTCCTCATTTTGCTGCACGCGTTTTCTATTTATATCGTGATTGGCGTTATTATAAAACGCAACTGTTATAACGCGAGAATATTGAGACAAAATTACCATATATAAATTTTCAATGCACATGCATTCATGATTATTCATATAAGCATAATCAAGTAATTTACTCACCGGAGATGATTTACTCGTCACGTGTTCAGCTACTAAACTGATGTTACTTTTCGATTGAATTTATATCTCGTCGTTACTACATCAAAGGAACTCGAACAAGCGTTGCCGACATCTCGTTTTGACATCAAGGCTCCTTTTCTCACTGCAACCACATTAAATTATAATGTCAAAAACAAGAAATCATATAAATTTTCTTTTCTGTAAAATATATCGAAATAAATATTTTTTCATATGCTATTATTCGCATTCGAATTGATAAATAAATTGATAAAATATTTCATATTTTATTTTACTAATAAATGCATATATAACTTATCTATGTATACTTCTAATAAAAAAAATTTTGTAACAATTTATTAAGATTTATTAATCAGTGATTTATTAATTACAAATCTCGAGAAAAAAAATCTTTGATTTATTTTATCAATCTATAATCTATGGTATCGAATGCAAATGTTTGCGTACAACAAAATTTATTTATTTCAATTATTTGCGACATATTTTGCTAACAAAAAATTTATATGATTTCTTGCTTCAGATATTATAATTCAATATCACTGCAGTAAGTGAGCAGGATTAATGAATATTGATCATCCGAATATCGTGATTATAGAGGTAATAATCCATAATCGCGATATTTTATTTCACATTAAGTATGTTATTTTTTTTTTCGTATATCAAAAATTTAAACACACACGCACATCTACATCCACTTTGATAACGACATAATCAATGCCGCTAATAAATATGGATTTTAAATAACATTTTAGATAAATCTACTTAATTATTATACTGTTAATAAAATCAATAAAACAAAGAGAAAAAATATCGGCACCTGACGATCCGAAAGGAGTACGTATGTCAACTCCTTTCGTTATTTTTCTTATATATATTATAATAGTATTATCGAAATTAATATTTTTGAAGTTTCCTTACAGGATGAAGGAAAAGGAAATTCAGAATGAAAAAATATTTTTTGGAACTAGAATTTGTTCGGTGCGCTCTTGAAATATTATAAACAATCGCTCGACATTTTATTCGGTGCATACTTTGAGCGAATCAAGAATACACCGCCATACATTATCATAAAGTATAAATTTCGTCGATTTTATTCGACAATAAGGACACAATATTATTATTATTATTATTATTATTATAAAAGAACTTGCAATTGAAGCATATCAAATGAATTTGCAACAATATATTGCAATACACATGATAATCGCATAAGCGCTTTTAGACATCACATTACAATTCTTTGATTTTTTAAAGATTTATGTAAAATATGTTGTAACTTACATTTCTTCCGACCTCTGTAATTATGCTTTAAATTCTAAACCCAAGGATTGTACGATAAACGATAAGATGTCGGTACTTTCTTCAATCTAAAATAAAATATTTTCCCTGTTATCTGATATTTTTGAATAAAATCAATTATGTTTTAAATGTGAATTGTTTTATAAAAATCTTTACTTACCACTTTCATGGTTGGTTTTCCACCTCCATGACCCGCCTTGGTATCTATTCTTGCGAGTATTGGATTTTTCTGTTTTGGTATGTTTCCAAGTGTACGCTGAAGAGTTGCTATTAGTTTAAGAGTATGTAACGGTACGACGCGATCATCGTGATCAGCAGTCAACAGTAATGTTGCTGGATATTGTGCGTCACCAGGAGGTATTCTTACATTATGTAAAGGTGAATAATTCAACAAATTCTGGAAATGCTTGGGATCGTCTGAGCTTCCATAATCCGAAACCCAAGCAGAACCAATAGTAAATTTATGGAAACGCAACATATCCATAACTCTGTAATTATCAAAAAATTTTAATGGTTTTCCTTATAAATTGTGTATGCGTGAAAATTACAAAAATAATAAAAATATGTCAACTAACCCCACTTGAGCTATAGCTGCACCAAATAAATCGGGCCTTTGATTTATGCATACAGCAACAGCCAAGCCACCATTACTGCCACCTTGAATCGTCAATTTTGCCGAAGTAGTGTATCCATTTTCTACAAGATATTTTGCTGCATATTGAAAATCATCAAATACATTTTGCCTATTGAAAAAGCGTCCTGCATTATGCCATCTTTCTCCATATTCACTATAACAAAAGAATGTCACATTTTTCATACAAGTAAACTATTATTTTATAGAGATTTTCTGTGTATTTTATATTTTTGCATACCCTCCTCCACGAACATTAGCAACAGCAAGTACTCCATTTAAATGCTGTATAAAGACAAGTCTCGTAACACTGAATGTAGGTTGAATACTTGCATTAAAACCACCATAACCATAAAGTAAGGCTGGCATAGTTCCATCCAATACAGCATCCTATAATTAAATAATTTCATTGATAATTTTAATGCTCTAATAATGAGAAAAACATACAGAACTAAAATACATAAATTTAGTAGTCTTCAAACATTCGTAAGTTTCTATTTATTAAATGCTCGCAGGCCATATTGATAATACAATATATAAATTATTTATAATATATTTAGTTTTTTTAAATATACTTACACTCTTTGTTACTATGAACATGGGAATTTTTGTACCATCCTTGCTTGGATAAAATATTTGACTAGTTTTATATAAACTTGCATCAAAACCTTTCACTTTAATTTCTCGCAATATCTATAAAAACAAAAATATCCATTATTTAATCAGTTTAGAACTATTAAAAAAACTTCATAAAAAATGTTCTATTGTATGTGAAACATCATACTTATTTATATACTTTTAAAAAGATAGATATATATACTAACTCGTGGTTCCTTATCTTTTTTCAAATCGATTGTATATATGATGCCAGGGGTTAGGAATGATGTGAATTGATAAAATATTTCGGAATATTTCTTCTCGCCTGAGAATCCGACAACAGTACCGAGATCAAGAGGGAACGTTCTGATTAGTTTACCAGTTTTTAAACAATGCAGTTGCAAAATATTCTATAAAAGATTTAATATCTATTATTATAGTCATTATACTTTATAGATCTATAGTCATTTCGTATATATTTACCTTAACATCTTGTATATAACAAGCAACGAATTTGTCTTCATCTACAGCATCAGCCCAATCTAATACATTCTCAGGATGTTCTGGCAATAGATCAACCCATTTATCTTGTTCATAATCTAACAAATCTATAGCTATTAACTTGTAGTTAGGTGCATTTTTATTTGTGCGAAACACAGCTTTGGTACCAACATTGGTTATGTACTGAAAATAGACAAGATAATAGTATAAAAGTTACAAGCAATAGTTAATTATAATACATTTTAAGAAGAATAAAATATTTACTACTAACTTCATAATCAGCTTCAAGTTTACCAACAACCTGTGTCAATGGCAAGTTATTACCTATGTCCATTCCAGCTTTTAATGGAGTAAAATACACTAAATTATCTCTGCAATCCTTTAGAGGAGTAACAATGAGCCAGTTGCCACAATCAGATACTTCTGCACCTCTATAAGACAAAAATATACATGTCAAGTATATGTATAAAAAATCAAATTGGTCTATAATTTGTTCATATAGCAATTTTTCATATATTATATTTATTATATATAAAGTTAAATTTAGAATATTAACAAATATGAATATAGCTGATATATTAAGATTTGCAAAATTTGTGTACAGTATGATATAGTAGTTATCTAATAATCTAAAAACTGAAATTGCAGAACTCACATCCTCCACAATGGTTCTTCAGGAAACTCAATTGCAACAACATCATCTGATTGCGATGTACCGACAATGTGATAGCACAGTTTTTGATTTTGATTACCTAATGTTTCCGAACCATCTGTTTTTCCTTGTTGATCTCTATATTGTCCATAAAAAATGCCACGATTATCATGAGTCCATGTAATGGGTGAGAATTTTACTTTCTCCAAAATTTCTGGATATTTTTCACCTATATAAATAAAATAATTTTATTATATGTACATATAAAACACAATAAATAAAATATTAAATAAAAAATCCAGAAATACAAGAATTTTTCAAATGTATTGCATTATCTTACCAGTCTGTGCATTCAGAAAATGAATAGTACTCCAATCAGAACCACTCTTAGATAACCCGTACGCGAAAATGTTACCGTCTTCACTGAAACTGCTACTGGTAATTGCAACAGTACCATCTTCAGAAAAAGTATTAGGATCCAGAAATACTCTTGGTTCGCTTTCAAGAGTATCTTGTACATATAAAACACTGCAATGATTTATTAACTTAAAACCCGTTTGTAAATTTACATACGAAAACATGTATCACGCATTATACCTTTGGTTTTGTAAACCAGTATTTTTGTAAAAGTAATATTTTCCACCATGTTTGGCAGGACAAGAATATTTTGGAAAATCCCACAATTGTTTCAATCGATCATGAATATTGTCACGTGCTTTACACTCAGCCAAATATGGCTTAGTGATGGCATTTTGAGCATCGACGAAGGCTTTAGTTTCCACCGAGTCTGGATCTTCCAGCCATCTATAGGGATCTGCTACCTAAAAACAAAAATATATATATCCTTCAGCTCTAAACAACAAATTTATAAACTATACATATATATATATAGCCTTTTCTCAAAATATTACTTGAAATGATTACATTTATACAAAATATTTTTCTTATCTTCATGTAAAAACCAATTATAATTCATCAAATATGAAAATATGAAGACTCAAATATTCGACTCATGGTCGAATAATATTTACAAAAATATTTAAGCGAATAAATTTACGAAGATGCATTCTAACCTTAATCAGGCCGTGATAATCATCGACGACGCTTTCATCCCTGCGCGCCTCAGGATATTGTGTTCTCGTCATAATCCCGTTCGCTTTTCGCTCAGCGTTCTTCCGTGCAGGATAACTCGCCGACTAAATATGTACGGAAACTTCACTAATGATATTTACACGCGCGGAATCTCTTTCCATACACGCCAATCAGCAGGAGAGAGGGAACCAAATGAGGCCAAATGATGCTGAATCACGTGAGCCGAACTGACACCTAGGCGCGTCGATACCTTCCGGTGTTTCTATTATACACACAAACTAAAGGCGAAATAATCGTTCCGACAATGCGAGCGGAAAGGAATAGATGTCTCGGTTAATCACAACTGCAAATCAACCTCTTTTCCGCGCAGAGTGTACAAAAAGACGCCAGTCAAGATCACGTGATCGTCGCGACGTTAATCCGATACAGACTGAAGTCGGTATACGATATACATATGTGCCTTCATTCAGTTAAGACTGGAACTACATACATGTATATATATGTGTTCCGTTTTAACTAACAATGTCATGAATGAATGAAAGTACATATATATATATATATAAAAGTATATACATATATGAACGTTTTTTTATTACCTTGTACGGAGTATTATGCTATATATGTCAAAACGGAACACATGCAGCTTACTAATATACACACGTGTGGGTGACTGCGATGACAGATAGTATAATGTGTATGGGAAAAAAGAGGAAGAGAGCAGAGGATGCGCTTTTTTCGGGTAATAAATTCTCACAGATGCGGATGTAGATGTAGATGTCACGCAGCGTGTTGATTGTAAATCTCCGTAATTACTGACGGTCCCCGCCGCGATGTTGAGGTTTGTGAGTATCCCGCAGCACCGGAATCTGTTCAACGTGCGTATCATCACGCTCCTCCGTCCCTTTTCACACGCACGTGATCACGCGTCGACGTAACTCGTTCCGTATTGCTTCATTTCCATGACGCGGTATAATTTGAATGCGCTTTGTTACGAGATGATGGCTTGATTTATTTTTTCCTGTAAAAAAATAATAAATTGGAATAAATTGTGTATTTTTTAAAAAAAAAAAAAAAAAAAAAAAAAAAAAAACGTGTATGTGTATAAGTATTTTATAAAAGAGAGAGATTTGCATTTCAAAAAATTAATTACTTATAGAGTAACAATTTTGATAATTTTTTTGTAGCTTGTGTATTATTCGCGTCTGTAATGCAAAGGATTCAATTAATTATCAATATTAGCTTTCTTATAGTTTTTAAGATACAATGTAATCCTAATAGAATCATTATTATTCTGACATCGCATCTTATGATTGAATTATTATTAATTATCAATAATTATCCTCGATTATCACTATATATATATATATATATCTCTCTTTTAGTTTTTATGATTAGTACACGATCATTGTATGCAACATATTCTATATAATAGAATTATTATTATTACTCTGACAAACATGTCACAAGGTCCTTAGATTAGACAGATCACGTGTTAATTAATAACGCGAATAATGCAACAAAGTATCGAAAAACAGAGATAATTTTTTTCTTAGAATTTATCCTGAAAATTATGTTAATCGTGGGGCAATATATATATAGTATATTAATATCTACCACAAAAAAATATAAAATATGTCCGATTAATTTTCCTACATATATGTATAGAGTAAAATTTATTTAATACTTTTTATTGTGGTAAATATATTAATCCGAGAAATTTTCCTAAATTCTTCCAATACTAAATATTGTCTCGCGATTACCATATATGATTTTTAGAATAAATTCTAAGAGAAAATTCTCTCCGTTCATGTATACATACATTGACCCGCAAATCTTGTCTTTTTCTTATTTCTCGTGCATGCTATGTATATGTAAGTTCAACGTCGGCATCGCTATCCATGGGGGGGACGGAAGAGTACAGAGTGATAGTGATAATACCCTGCTTATCGGTGGACCTCAATAGCCCTCTCAGAGTATATTGCGATAGTAATTGACACGTGAACGACTTTGTGCGAATGGTCCAACGCACCATATTGCGAGTATGTTAATTATATGTATATACATATACCCAGTAAGCAAAAAATCATTGCTACAACGTTATTATTGTTGTCAAGTATGTCGTTTTTAATATCGTATGCAATATCATTATGAACAAACTTTGACAGCGATTTAGAGGTTTCGGTAATGTTGAAATTAACGTTTTTAAAATATTTTATTAATATTTTTAAAACATTTATAAAACATCACAATTAACATTTTTTTTAAATATTTATTAATTATATTTTAAACATATTTATAAAACATTATATCGTAACGTTTAGAAAATTTATATAAAATCAACATTTTATATATGTATGTATATCGTAGTCGCGTGATATCTCAGCATTAAATATGTTATTAATAAAGAGGGACTGACGGTAAAAAAAAAAAAGGATTTAAATGCGTTCGTCAGAGTTTGAAGTAACGCGACAACTGATACGATGTTTATTGCGAAATTCATAATAGATTAAGCAGATTATACATACGTAAACATATATGTATATTACTGTAACTTGGAATTTTATAAATATGTATATAAATCTATGCAGATAATTTCAATAAATATAGAATTACGAAAGTTAGAGTCATAGGATGTTAATAAGTAGTTTTTTTTTTTAGAATTGTAATTCTGTTAAAATTACGTATCGACGATGATATAATTTTTATTTAATGCATCTCTTTGAGAGGGCAAGTTTATTTTTTTCAATCTCCTGATTCCTGAATATTTTTTTATTTTTATGAATATAAATCGCCTTACTATGGCAAAATTTCATTGATACTCCAAAGCTCTTTCATTGATTAAAAACTGATTTAAAACTCCTAATTGTACTTTCTTCGAGTTTTAAAGCCATAATTGATTTTAATTTTAGATATTAATTACGTAGAGAAGGAAAGTGTAATCAACAATTTAATGATTAAAATTGTTGACTCGTAATTCCAATCAAATTATTAACGTAATTTGACCGAATAAATACCGTCAAAAATACATAATAAAACATCATTAATTGTATAAGCTTACAAATCTGAGTTCATTTTTAATACTCGATAAATAAGAAAGGAAAAAAGAGATAAAGAAAATAAAGAAAAACACCACATGTATAAAATTCTATTCGTTTTACATATTACTTTTATATATAATATAACGAGTACCTAATAATCCTGAATATTTCACCAAGTTCGGTTAGATGAACCGACAGTTAAAATTACCAGATTGACTGATAGAAAAAAAAATTCATAGCATTCATATAGACATGAATATAATTTTAGCCACATTATCAATTTGAACCGCGCTATAAGTACGATTCTTATGCAAATTTTATCAACGATGAGAGAGATGAGAGAGAAAAGAATCTATGTAATATTATTAAGTTTGCGCCGTCGAGTATTAGCTCTAAAATCGACAGACCATATCGCAAAACAAGACGTCTGGCGATAATACATACTCGATTCGTTTTCTCGAGATAAAGGCGGACGAGGAGGGCCCCTTATCGCGATATTTACGCGCCTGAAATTCGGTCGCCGAGTGGGGATGCGTGCGGAATAGACGAAGAGCCTCGCGCATCGCATCACGCGTCGATCAGCTGTACTTTGTGCCTCGAACCCAGATAACCTCTCCGAGAGTACAGCTAAACGAGATCCCCCTCTTTACCTTAGTCGCGAGCGGAGGAGGCCTTGTACGTCGCGTATTATAAAATCTAAAGTGCGAGCGGCGCGTTTCATTCCACGCTCGTCTACGAGGATTCGCGTCGTCGACGAATACGAGGAAGGTTATTTGTGTCTAGTGTGGTAGAAGTCTAGTGCGGAAGCGCAGGTATAACTCAGGGCCGTTACTTCCGGCGCGGGTGGATTTAACTTTTGAGATTCGAACTGTCAGCACACGGAGGAATGCAAAAGGACTGTCGAGATTGTTTGGGTATCCGGTACCGCATCAACACCCTGGACCAGACGTGGAAGTGGCTGCACCAGACCATCGCCCTGCACGACTACCTGATCTCCGTCACCACGAGCCAGACCGACGTCTCCAAGCGTCTCCGTCAATAGGGGATCGCCTGAGAATCGAGATATATTAAGCCAAGGCTGATCTCTCGACGCGCACGTGACGCAATTCACGTCAACCCGAAAGAAAACCTCGCGGTTCGCCAAGACTGATCGAAAGAGACGGGAAGTCTAGTCTCGCAGCTACGTTGGGTCCCTCTTTTTTTTACGCAACATGTCTCTCTCCACCAGACTGATCGTCGTCGCCAGACGTCACCTCGACGGTTTCCGACGAGCCAGCAGACACGTGTCGACTTACAATTCCGCGAATGACGTCGAGCCGATCAGAAAGTCGGTGTTCATCTCGCAATCCAGCGACGTGTTCGTGAATCTCGCGCTGGAGCACTGGCTGTATCGCAACTACGACTTCTCGAAGCATCATGTGCTCCTTCTGTGGAGGAACGATCCTTGCGTGGTGTTCGGCCGTCATCAGAACCCATGGCTCGAGTGCAACGTGCAGGCGGCCGAGAGGGAGAGCATCGCTCTGGCGCGACGAAACAGCGGTGGCGGTACCGTTTACCACGACAAAGGCAATCTCAATCTGACTTTCTTCACGCCGTACGAGAGATACGACAGAAGGTATAATCTCGGTATCATTGCGAACGCCTTGTTCCGTCAATGGAGCTTGAAGGCCGAGATCAACAAACGCGATGACATCGTAATCGACGGAAGCTACAAGGTATTTCAAATTTATGTCACAATTATTCAATTATATATCAAATGTACATACTAATGTAACGTCATCGATCAATTATACAGTTAATATTATTATATAATTAACAAAAGCGATAACGAGACCTTCAAACGAGTTTACGAGTGATGTAATGATTTTTTTTTAATATATTTGATGACTCTCAAATAAATCCGACTCATTTCGAAATATACATATAATCTGCTCACTTTAAATTTATTCAAAAATTGCGGTTTCTTTTTCAGGGTTATCAATGCACTTATGTTTTTTAAGCAAAGATTTATATAACTTTTGTATTACTGTGTAGATATCTGGAACGGCTGCAAAGTTGGGAAAACCAAATGCTTATCATCACTGCACGCTTTTAGTTGACGTGAATAAAAGCAATCTGAGTTCTATTCTTGAAAGAAAAGAGGTAAGATTTTCTTCCTGACATGACCGACACATATGCATACATATTCTTTTTAAACATATGCGTATATATTAATATACGATGTTATATATATTAATATCGCGCAATTGTTTGCGAATGATAATTTCGTGATTTATACAAATTTATGCAAATATGAAAAGAAAACATAACGCACATTAATGCATTCATTCAGAATGACATCATTACGAATGCGACGACATCTACACGTTCAACGATAAAAAATTTGTCCGACATAAATCGTAATATCCAAATGGACAAACTTTTATCCGCTATTGGCTGGGAATTCATGCGTACAAAAGCCCTCGTTCTCGAAGATGGAATATATGATCTTCGACAACAGAAAGGTTTCCAGTATATCAATCCAACTGAAGATTGGTTTCCTGGTATGTATCAACAACATATATAGCTTATTTCTTTTGATAATATATATCTAAAATTAATTAGCTGATAACGGATTGAAAACACAAGATGGATTTATGTTTAAACTAGGAATCGATAACTTTGTCAGCGAGTTTCGTTCCTGGGATTGGAATTTCGGCAAAACGCCGAAATTTACAGTTACCCGTACGCTCGATGTCCCCGCTCAGGATGGTAAAACGCATCGCTTAAATTTAAGCTTCGAGATACTGGACGGTATCGTGGAGGAAATTAGAATGAGCTTGCCCGCTGGATTAGTATCGACCGATTTTGATCAAGATGCAAGTGTGATTAGCAATCTTCGTGGTACAAGATATAGTCATGAAGTAACAGAAAATATAATCAATGAGATTGGTGGCAAGATTGTTACATCAAACACGAGCCAAAGCGTAGATGAAAATAATGTAAGAAGATTCGATGAGGCTACACTACAATGACCCGAGACTTCGGATAGCCATAAGTCTGTCTAAAGTGTTCAAACACGATATTAATTATATTTATATACATATGTATATGTTATAGTTATTATAATTATTATACAAAATTAATGATTGTATTATACATGTACATATAACGTATTATGTGTATATAATATTTTATACACACACAAAAATTTAAGAAATTTTTACTCAGTAATATACGGGTACTATATTAATTGCACTATTACCTTTAATTTTCAAGAATATCGCAATAAAATATGTGCATGATTCTTTCATTGTATATATGATATATTAATTTTCGACTGCATTATTATAGTGAGTTAAACCCACTATATATAAATGCAATAAATTTTTTAACTGGCATTCTTAATTCCTATTGGCAATATAAAAGCAATCTAAATTCTTATTTCTTTTTGTTGCTGTAAAAACAACATGGTTTTAAATAACATGATTTAGCAAAAAACTTATTTTATCTCGGAAAATCTTACTTTGCAATATTTATTTTTTTTATAAACAATATAATATGATCAATAACTGCTATCTCGCATGTTCCATTTATGCATCAACGACGCTTTACAAATCGATAAATAATATAACGTTATATTTACAATCTAATTATATTCTGTACTGTTTGTGGCAGCATTATTATTTAAGTTGTAACGGATGGATTACGATAAAGTCCCGGTCGCAATATGACTTCATTATACGGCGGTGGCGGAGTATCGGGACAAGATATCGTGTCTTCATGGAAGACAGCATCTTCAAACTGCCACAAATTGTGCAATAACGAAATTCTTTGAGTATCATTGTCTCTTCGCCGATGATAGCCACGGCAACAAGATATCCTTTGTGCGAGCCAAATGTAGCACATAAACATGCCGCAGGCGCTACCGAGTAAAAATCCAAATGCAAAGAACCAATATGGCGATATAGCATTTAGTGTTTTCGTAAAATTGGTCTTGCTTGTCGCGTTAACACAAGTCGTATTCTTATATATGAGTGCAGGACGCTTCTTTGTTGCAATCGTGTTTCTTTTTATGTTTGAATCCAAAGTTATCGAGGGACGATGCTTCTCATATTTATCTGTGGATTGTAGGCAATCATTTTCTCAAATTTCTTTGGCTCTGAATTTTTTATGCATACTGGACGATATTGTATATTTCTACGAGTCAAATATATTTGCAAATCGTGCGTAAGTTATCACAGGACCAGAGATTTCTGAAAATAAAACTGCATGTAAATTGCAAATATAAACATACGCAAACATATATCGATCATTAAGATATATAATACTTCATTCTTAAAAATTTTTAATAAATTACAATATAATAATATAACTTAAGAAAATAAGCTATACAAAATAATTGAATTTTTCGTCGTCTTACCCTTCTATTGATAATGTTTTTAAAAATTGCAATCTCTCCAAGACAATGCTGTCCAATTGAATTAATAAATTATTTGAAATATCAAGATTACGAAGATGCGAAAGTCCGACAAACGTATCCATCGATAGATGACTAATTTGACAGGAATTAAGAATTAAATCCTAAAATAAGATTTAACAATAAGTTAGATTAAAAAAAAAGATATATTGTATATATCTTTTTAAATAACATTTTGAATTAGATTGTCATCATTAAATATATATATATATATATAAAATAAATATACAGTATTTCTAAAACTATGTCAGAGATTTAAGAGTATTCTACAATAGGAGTTAAAATAAGAAAAAAGTTCCTTTAAACATGGGTCCACAAACAATTTGCTTTCTCTCTGAATTATTATAGCCCCCTTAAAGATGTGTGAAAAATTTGTATTGTGACTTGGAGACTTTTCTCGATCTGTGAAAAAGTCTCCGAAAGTTACATTTTCCAATTTTTCACACATCTTTAAGGGAGCTATAACTCAGAGGGAAAGTATTTGTTGGACTTGTGTTTTAAGGAACTTTTTTTTTTATTTTGACTTCTAGGATACACTCTTAAAATCTCTGACATAGGTTCAAAAACATTCCGTATATAATTAAAACCGATTAAATAATTTAAAGAACATAAAAAAAGTATGTAAATGTGTTACAATTTCATTAAAAAGTGAAAATATTACATTAAACTGAAATAATTTGTTTATGAAAAATCTTTAGTTGTGAAATGTTATAAATATTATATTTATATAATATAACATGTATATAATGTTTTACGAATAAGTATTTTTCATAAACGGATTATTTCATGTATAATATTACATACGTATATAAATATATGTACAAATCATTGTATACGTTTTTTTAATTTATATTGTTATTATTACCGTGAGCGAAGGACACTTCAATTTCGGTATATGAGAATTAAATTATTTTTTGACAGTCGGAGAATTCGCAAATTCTTTGCTGATATAAAAATATCTGACAAAAGATAGTAAAGATGATTCTGGGATAAATCGAGAACTGTCAATTCGGATAATCCATCGAAAGCGTTTAAGCTGATTTCACTGATTGCATTCATAGAAAGATTGAGATATTTAAGCTTCAGCAAACCTGCATCCTAAAATAAGGGTACGAAATATTATATCCGTATAAACAAAGAATTTTGGAATTAACTTTTAAAATGAAAATTTAGACTAAGAAAATGAAAATTTAGTCGAAAATAAAAACACAAATATGTGTGTAGGTACTTGTGTCTTATTTCTTCAGCATGTTTCGTTTTTTTTTCCATCTTCAACTTAACTTATAATAGATTATACACGTTAAGCTGCGAAGATGGTTCAAAGAAAGGACCGAAACGTTTTGAAGAAATAAAGAATATATGTACACCGCACCGGCTCTTATACTATATTTTTTCTTTATATTACAATACAATACATGAAAGCCTTGTCTCTATAATAATAAAATTTTGTAATTATTCTTCTTTTGTTCACTTTACGATGTTTACCTTACTATTGATAGTTTTGTTTATAGTACGCCATAGAGTTTTTCTCTCTTAATAAATTTTTCAAAAAGTTTGTTAGAAAATGGCATGTCATAGTCAATAAAACATTCTATGTAAGAATTTCTGTCTTTTATTTCTTATAACAAAAAAGTTTATAGTAAAAGAACTCTTTGTTGCAAGAAAAAAAAAAGAAAGTTTTTGTATAGAACGTTTTCTTAGACATATTACAAGACACGTTCTAAAAATAACCTTTCAGAATCCTTGAGAATTTTCCCCTAATAAAAATGTACACGTCCGTTCATTTCTTTGTCTAAATTTTCAGACAAAAACCTATTTGCTTGAAATACTAAAAGTCTATATGAAAAATGATTATAGATTATAAATTATAAATAATGACAACAGATGCCTGGCGATCTTTTAATATTGTACAATTTCACAAATTCGAATGTTTCTTGTCTTGCAATTAGAAACACATAAAATAAAGCTATTTATATTTTAGGTATACTTTTCAATTAGGATAAATGAGTTTGACGAAAATCGACAGATCCTTTGACAAATATTCGTTGAATATAACGAAGGACAAATTGCGCTTGTATCTATAATATACATACATATATACTTACCGCTAATTCGTAATTATTTAAAATAGATATCGAATTGTTCGACAAATCCAAAGCTTGCACGGTGTTTGGCACACCTGCGTGAATATTATAAAGATGGCGTCCGATACATGAGGCGTACTGCAATCCGTACCAAATGTCACAGTTGCACAACAATGGGCATTCGCCGGAAGAATGCACCGAAACATCAATTACGACTACTTGAAAGACGAGTGCAATAAATAAGGTTCTAAATGTTTTGTGTGCCATTACGAGCCGCTCAGATTGCACGGAGAACGTAAATTCGATCATTTCGACGGATCATCATCGGTATCTGACAATTTCGCGCACGATACACATCGTCTTCACCAGACACGAAACCGACGTGCACTGGCATAATCTTATCTCACCAACCTCTATGACAAAGTGATGTGTGTTTTACGACACGTCATACTGTCGCAGCATTAATATCTTTTATTCGCTTTTACTTTTACACTTTCTATAGGAATTGACAACTAATGATCTGAGAAGATTGTGTCTAATTCCATTGTCAAAAAAAAAAAAAAAAAACCAGACCTGAGACTAAGAATGTATTCTTTTAAACGATTTATGATGTAGGCATTTAAACTATTTCTGTAAGACCGATTCAAGAAAACCCACGTCAGACCCCTGTCAAAACTTTCTGCTCGTCAAGAATTTGCCATGTGTAGTTTGGTTGTATGTTTTGTCGTGTGTTTTTAATGAATATTTCTAGCGAATTTTTTCTTTACAATATATTTCTAACTTGGAAAGTTTCTATAAACTTGTATGTATAGTATTTTCAGAATGATATATCGTGTTATTTTTTTTTTAGTTCTTTATCGCAAACCGAAAGAAATAACCGCGATAAATTTATTGCGTGGCTTGTTTCAGAAATATTTCTCCAGTTGAGAATATCTTTAATAATCTTCCGGTTTTAACGGAACAGTGAAATAAACGCAAACTCTCCCAAGTTTTGAAATATAATAAAGTTTACCAACTTATCAAATGGCTTGTCAGTTAAAGTTATATATTATTATTTCCCTTTTGCCGTTTCAGTGTAAATAACTTTGTCAGTAATTTGGAAAAAAATACAAAGGAGAAGAAAGCACTTTTTTTTTAATGCAATATAATTGTTTTGACGTATTTTCCTAAGTTAATATACATTTATCGTAGTTGCTTTTATGATCATTTAACTGATCTATTTGCAAAATTAATTCTTGCGGTCAGTTTTATTATAATTAGTATAATTGCAATACGATTATTAAAATTGATTTGAGCGAGAGGAAGAAATATATCTAATCCGTAAAAATTTGACAAACAGTTCGTTGCGTCCTTTAAGTCTAATCTTATGTTCCCAAAATATTCTCGTTGACAGCGGTTTATCTAAATTTCCTAAGGTTCACAGACAAAATATGTACGACCTTTCTGATAAAACGGAAAAAGGCATTTAGTCTTATTTATTGTTAGCGAAACTAATACATAAGAGAGGCGTCAGAAGACATCGCGTTTGAAAAATAAATATATAAAAAAAGGTAAATATTGTAGGCCAACTAAACGAGCAATTATTTAATTATTAATAAATCTTTAGATCTTATATTTAATTGCTCGTTTAGTTGGCCTACAATATTTACCTTTTTTTTAAATTTTGTTAATTTATATAAAAAACTCTGCTATCAAATCCAATTTGACGCGGAATTTAAATGGAACGTGCGCTTAGAATATAAGAATCGGCAAAGATATATAGATATATCATCGGGGGCTTTCGGTAAACGACGCTCTTGGCGCGTCTTCCGTACTTCTAACGAGGGTCAGCGGTTAGATCGAGGCCGAGCATCGGCGCATGTATTGCGCAACGCGTCCACGGAAATAAATCTAGGATAGGCTGCTGGGAACGCGCGCGCGTGGACCGTTTTATATATGCCTCCTCCTTCCTTTCCCGTCCCATCTTCCGGCCATTTTAATCGCGCGTCCTCATCGAGAGACGCCATGACGCCGGGAAAAAGCTTCTTCCACCTTCTCGAAAGCGCAGACGACGAGAGGACGATCGATCGCGCGCGAGGTTGCGAATTATAAATCCGGCATTAACGATACGCGTGTCATCCGCGCTCGAACATTCATCTCCCGGTCGAGAATGCCTTTACTACGCATCGGAGTACGCGCGACGCCGCGCCGGGAACGGCGTTGTGTCATCGTCGTCATCTCGCACCGGAGCTCTCGCGGACCGTCCACTCTCTCGCGTTTCGTCACTGGCGCCCTCAGCTGACGGGAGCCTCCTCGGAGCGATTACGCCGCGTACGATGCATATATATATATTTGTATATATACCTGTATACGCGTTTCTCTTTCGAAGGATTCTCCGACTCGATATTGTCCCGCCTTCGGCGAGGAAGGATGAGGACGCGAGACATCCTGTAAAACGCAGGACGTACGTGTATACAAAGCCTTCGCAAAAAGACCCTCCACTCGCCGCGTGTCGTCACTACGACTCAGCTGACGCAAAATGGCCGCTCGATTCTGACAGCTGAAGCAGAAAGCTTTTCGGATTTCTCTGCAGAAACGCGAGGCGGAACGTCAGCGGGATCGTTTCGTCGCGCGACGCGCGAACCTCGAGTTCTCGTAATAACGCTTCGACGAAATATGACGTATTTCGCGAGAAATACGACACAGTATGGGATGGACGAGGAACTCGCGGAGAGTCTGGCGAAGCCGGATTCTTTGGAGCGGCCGGCCACTCGTACTCGCGTTTCGCGTCACCGACATTCTCAGCTGACAGAGCGAGAACACAACCGCCTTATTTTGCTCAACAGCTGATCTCGTCGCTCGCGCGACGAACGCGCCGAGAGGAATGATTCGCGCGTCTCTGCGAATCGGTCGATCCCGAAGAATCGAGATGGAGCGCGACGACGAAGCATCGTCGTCCTCGAATATTATTCGCATGCGAAAAAGGTCGGCGTCGCTTCGCAGAAACGCCGGGAACGCCGAGTACGCACGACCGAGGACGGAGAGGGGCTGACGAGAACGAGAGAGGGAGGGGAGAGAGAACGGAGTGGAGCGTCTCGTCGGGCAGGCGCCTTTGCTCCGAGCGCTCTTAGCCTGCGATTTTTTCCCGTTTCTCTCGTTGTCCGGGCGGAGGGCCAATCGGAGTAAGTAGGTCAGAGCGAGCGGCCAATCGGCGCTCGAGGCCGGGTCACGTGGCTTTGTTGTTATCATCAGCTGTTTTTCCCGGACGGGCGGGCGGCCGGCCGGCGCAGTGAAAGCCGCTTCGCGAGTCTTGTCCTCTCAGTCCCTCCCGGTCGCTCAGCTGTGCATCACATGTCGGGTACCGCGGGTCCTTCCACTCCCGTACGAATCACTGTTAAGCGTACGAGCGCGACCCCGGATCACCTCCGTCTATCATCGGCGCGTATCAGCCCCGTGCTATTATTATGCTGTCAGCAGCCAGCGTGTCCACGCCAACGCATCACCACGAATCGATCACGAAGTGCCTCGAATATGCGGACGGCGTGACGGTGAACGCGGGCGACGGTGCACGCCGCTTTGTTGATACGCTGAGTTCTGTGTTCAGGCCGCGGAGGCCGCCGCGTCCCTCCAGCGTCTAGAGAGAGAGAGAGAGAAATCGAGTGCGAGTTCTCCTCCTTCGCGGAAATTTAAATCCGCCACCGCCATCGGCGCGGGCAGGCGCGTCGAAGTGTGCGATCGGTGCGTGACGGAAAAGCGGACGGTACGATGACCTAAAGAGAGTTCTCTTGGAATTTAATCGAGTGCTGGCCGGGGCGTCCTTTCGAGGGCCGAGTGCGTGTTTCGGTCTTGAACCTTCGATCTCGTTCGCGAGTGGATGATAAACGAATTGTATTCCCTCGAACTTTGTCCGCGTGTTAATCGCGAGTGCGAGAGTTAACACTTGGCGCGCGAGTGCGAAGAGTGCCGTCCGAGAGACGCGATTGATCCATCGATCGATTTGATTTTTGCAGATATATACAGGACCACCTCCGAGACACCCCCTCCCCCAGGTGATATCGCGTAATCGGCAGAAGCTGCGAATAATGTCGACGGGCAAGAGGCTGGCGAAGCGTAGCATAATCGGCACCAGGGTGTGCGCTCCCGGCGAGGACGGCAAGTACTACAGCGGCGCCATTTACGCCGTGAAGACGCCGCAGACCGCCGAGTCGCCTCCCGGCCAGAAGAGCGTCACGCCGAAGACCCTCTACTCCGTGCGCTTCGACGCCGTTCCGGGCGGATGCCCGCCGAGTTCCAGCACCGAGTACTCGGATCGCGACCTGATCGGTCCCGGCTTCGGCTCCGTCACCAGCGCCCGACTGGTACCCGGTCAGAAGGTTTACCTCACGTACAACGGTAGGGAGATCCACGCGGAGGTCACGGAACATCGCCAGCATCTCGACGAGGTGGACGTGGTCATTGCCCCGAACGGACAAGAGGTGAGTTTACGTTGTATCTCGCGCGTACTTTGAGTAAGCAAACTTTCTTCCCGCATGATGTTCCCCTGTGTGTAGACATGTATGCGTGTGCGTCGCACGTGCGACAAGTGTGACAAAATTGATCGCCGACGCGTTTTATTCCCCGGAATTACGCGGCGTTCACAATCATTCTAATGTTGGACAAATTTAAATTATTTTTCTAGTTATGCATGTGCTTGTATGTATATCGACGATAAATATCGTTCGCGAGAGGCGATTCGAGCTCATCGGATTCAGCAGATACCGTGCATCAACGCAGGAGAATTTTAATAAATTATATAAATATTATAAATGAAATAAAAACAGATTGTTATGAAACAATATTGCTAATCTTTCTTTCGCAATTAATTACAGCGATATTTTATTCCGTAAACTTGAGAAAACTATCTGCCGAAGTTTACTTGTGCAAATCTCGTGAGAGAGAGAGAGAGGCAAACAGAAAATTGCATGCGCAATTTGTGCACGACGAGGAGGAGACTTTAATACTTTTTCTAACTCAACTTTAAGACGCGACGCGACGTGCATTCTTAATAAAACCGGCGCGTTCCTTTTCCCGGAGAGTCATTTCAAAATAAACTCCGATAAGATCGAAAGTCGCGCGGGTCTTTGCATTTTTATTCGCGTATACAGAAAACGCGCAATTCGAGAGGAAGAGGATTCCGCGAGGCTTTTGTCGGAGAAGAGGAGAACCGGTTGCACAGACGCCGCACGCACATGTCACAATCGGATCGGGGAATATATTCTTAGCTTCTTCTTCGGACGGGTTAACGATCCTTGAAAAGATTAACGAATCGAAGGCGTAACGCGGGCATACCGTGGCGTCATATCCCCGGTATCTCTCTCTCTCTCGCTCGCTCTCGAACGCAGAGATTAGCGAGAGTCCCGTGAAAGAACGCGCTTGCGCGCGCGCGCGCTATCCCGCCCGTTTCGCGAGATGATCGCGCGAGCGCTCCATAACGGAGCAACACGCTCGTCCGATAACATCGAGCGGCCAGTATCACAAGATCCGCGCGTGATCTAATTTCGTCAGACTCGCACATGCCGCGATTTTTCCCTCTTCGCGCGATGCGCTGTCATTGCCGCGGGATATTATAATCCGAATCGCGACGAGATGAAGAGGATATATACAGGTCGGGATGAGGTATATATATATATATATTAAAAAAAGAAAGAGAGGAATCGTATAAAATTGTCGACGCGGGAACCGCCGTGGCCGACGACGCGCCGATGCGCGCGCGTGTGTGTCGTTAATCAGAAAATTTAATTTTCGTGACCTCGTTCCTAAAGTGGACGATCGAGTGGCTGGCCCATTTACGCGGTGCGCATGAGCGCGCGGTCTCTTCCTCTCGCGCCCTGCGTTTCATGGGATAGGATAGATGATGGGTATAGGAGAGGGATGGTAGCTCCTCACCTCACCACGCGTTGCATCCCAATTCGAACGCGTTGCTAGATGCCTGGCTTCGAGACACGAGCCGGAGAATCCAGCCGCGCCTCTTTTAGCCCTATTCCCTTCTCATCTCGTCATTTTCGGCAGAAAGACCGAGAGGGAGATGATTATACGCACATAAACGCAAGGGTGTGTGTTTAATGTATTAATGAGAGGAGGGACGTGAGAAATTTAAATTTTTGTCGCATTTCTTTCTCAGAGATTATTTTGATCCGTTTATTAGACTGAATTAAATTAATTATTAATTGTAAGTTATACGTAAAGAAATATCTGATTTCTGCTCTCTTTCTAAAATCTTATACAAGTATACAGTATAATGGTTTATTTTTTTCTATAGTTGTTATTGAAATAATTTAAAAATTTTAATATATCCGGATTTTATATTTTTCATTCATCTTGTTTCGAGAGTAATTTTAATAGATCAATGAAGCTTTTGCGGAAAAATACCAAACGCAATATTATGATTCGAATCATTTTTAGTTAAATGCTTTATCTCAATTATCTCAAAACAGACGAAATAAAAAAATTAAAAGACTCTGGTATTCTTTAATGATATTTTGAAATAAAATATGTTTTTCTTTACACGAAAAACAAAATAGTTTGAAAAACATTTCGTTTTTTTTTCATCCCTAATGCTGTCGAATTATTACATCGACGTCGCTGTGCCAAATGCAGTAAATTTACAAAGTTGACCAAGAAACATCTCGCGCTATGAACCCGAGACGGTATAAATTGAAAGTCGATAGGAGCGGACGGGTTAACGAGTGGGTTAACAGAGGAAAACGCTTCTCGACGTCGTTGACGTCACACGATCCGTACACGACGCGCGATCCGTCAATTTTCTCTCGGGCTCGAATTACGGGCCATTCCGCCGCATGCATTTTTGCACGCTCATGAAAACGCAGTATACGCCGTGATAAATGCCTAACACGAGGAATAAACCGTCGACTAAAAATTTCCAAACGCTGACAACCGTATTTTGTATTCTTATACATTCGGCCGAATACTTGAGCTCGATAGAAACACAGTATAGCGATTTATATATATGCAAATATATATATATATATAATAATACTGACCTTTGAATTTTGTAATAATAAGTTGACTAATCGGTTTGCGACGACTGTGATAGGTCTCGTCTATAATACGTAATACCCGCTAATCCTTATTAAAGCCTCCCTTATTAAGCCTGTATTCCTACGTCGGAATTTCTTGACAAAGGGGGTTTTATCCCCTCAGCCCCAGGTGCATAATAGGTGCAATAGGTTCGCATATACCATCGCGCTCGATGAAGCGTGAAAGAATACACACGTAGTCGCGATCCCGCTACGTAAAGGCGCGTTAAGATTCGTAATGAGAGGCACTGGCCGACAGCACTCGCACGCACTCGTATATGCGTGAGCGTGCGAGCGAGTACACGAAGCGATAGCCGCGGCTTTTATGCGCGCGCGAAGCGGATACGGTAGTACTCACCCGGTGCGGTGCACCGGCTACCGGGGGTGACCCCACGTGAAACGCATTAACGCAACATATATATACAAATATCTCTCTCTCTCTCTCTCTCTCTCTACCTCCGTTAGACAGCTCAGGCGTGACTGGCGCGCGGCTCCATTTCACAGAAACCGTGTTGTGTTGTGGAAAAACGAGCCGTACTACGCGTCCGCTTTTTCGCGGCTTTTATATTACGTATTATATTTTCCGCTTCTCTTCTCCGACCGTGTCTTCTCGCGCATCGGATTCGCTTAATCAGCTATAACTTATACAGGGTGTCCCAGGTACTTATTGTATCACACGTTAATGGGAGATTCTTCAGGCGATTTGGAGACGATTTTTCCTCGCCGAAAATAAGGGGTTTTTCGTAAACTATGTGGAAATAAAATATTAACAATAAAATCACATTCTTTTAATAATTTCATGTAGAGTTTACTTTAATAGAATTTTAATTTAAGGCTTAGTTACAAAGATACATGATTTCAAAAATTGGAAACATTAAAAAAAAGTGATGACGTTCCTCGATATTTTTGCCGAATGGGACACCCTGTATATACGATCGGATTCATCCGACAAATGACGTGATATTTTTTAGTTTGGAACAAAGTAGCGTCGCTATCATCAGATATCGAATGTTGAGGTAAGCTGATAATTATATGCAAATTTTTTTCGTCGCGTTTTGCACACGTGCGTATATAAAGCGATCAAACGTACGTCGTCTCTCGATTATTCCCCGAGAATCGCCAGCGAATTTTTACGATCCGGCCTGTACGACTCCTGTCACGCCGGCTTTAATCGCGAGGCGCCGCGATTAATGGCTCGATAGAATTCCAAGGCGTAGTAACGATCCTTCAAACGCGAGATATCTTCTAGCCATTTGTTTACGCGTACAATATATATGTAGATAGGAAGGAGAGAGCGAACGCGCGCGTGTGTGGCAAAGTTTTAACGACGCCGAAGGTCGCTCAACCGTGAATCGATAAATAGTGGAGCTCGTTAATACGAAATACGTGTAGGCAGTGATTTTCGAAGCTTCTGCAGCATCTTCTTGCGCGTAACAAGCGAGAGACGCGGATATATTTTCCTCATACGCACTCGTATGCAAGAAGTTTACGACGCAATGTTAATTCCCTATTAACCTTTAACTGTTCGGCGCGAATCAAAGTATTCGGAACAGCGCTTTCGGTATATACATGAGCGCTACATGCATATAATTTCATAAATTATCATCTATTTATCTATAGCTTAATTTTTTAACATAAAAATAATTATCGATAAAAATTAAATTTCAAATTTACTTGAGAAAATAAAAAATTATTTTTTACTCATGCTACATTTAATACTAAAGAAAAAGCAAAGTCAACAAAAATTGCGCAGCTTGTCATGTCAATGACGTATATAACCGGCTGAGCTAAAGGTTAATGACGTAAATGATTAAGATAATAGAAAATAAATTACAAATGTTTCTGGTATACAGTGCGTATTAGAAAAATGTTGACTTGGTTGTGCGATTGAAATTTATATATACAAGTAGAGGAAAAAGTATAAAAATTGAATAACTTGTTTTAATTATTAAAGCTTGATATATGCGCGAAGATTTTAATTGCAACATTAGTAATTAAATTTAACGGTTGGTTCGACGCGTCAAGAATGATTAATGCTAGAGCATCGTTGCCAAAAGATCTCGATGACATTTATAACACATCTTTCAGTCGTTCGATCAGTCGTCACTTTTCTATCCGAGACAGGTGTAGATTTCAATACCCGCGGTCATGACTTGTCAATCGCAACCTTGCAAGGTTAAGTCATTCAAATACATAAAATGTCAACACTGACGCCAATGGATGGTCACGCATAACGGAGTTGAGTACTGCTGAATCGCGAATTTTATTGCAACGAAATGGTGGCGAAATTTTGCACTCGAGAAATACGCGATGGGAAAGTGCTTTTCATAACGTAAACATATCCACAACCTTTTACATTTTTGCATCAAATTTACATCTCAAATAATATTCCGAAGATATAAATTAAATTTGTAATTAAAAATCTTTCCAGAGACGCGATAAAGAACTTTCCATCGATAATTTTTTTTTAAATCAAAAGGTTTAAAATAAATAAAAGAGTAAGCATTGATCGAATGACTGAAAATAATTACGAATCTTTTTACTTGGAAAATAATTAAATTTATATTTACGCAATTATATATATATATATTCTTTTCTTCGGATATTTATTTTTTATCCTAAATATATCCATATATTATTATTGCAGAAAGATAAGAGAAAAAAGAGAGATTCAGATTTTTAATTTGTAAAATTTGATGAGTTTGTATAATAAATTTTGAATTTCGTCATCGAGACTTTGAAAACCAATATTGCACGTTCTCGCAGTGTCAACAGTTTTTCGCGCATTTCCGCATCAAACGCGGCGAAATTCGCGAATAGCGGTAGTATCAAGTATCAAGTATCATTCGCCCGTGGAGACCGACAACGAAAAAAAAAAAAAAAAAAAAAGGTCGCGGTTGAGCACCGCCGCGGGGCTCCGGATGTATTTCCCTGGCGACGACGGTGAAGGCGGCGGAACTCGATTTTAAAGTCCGCTTCGCGGAGAGTGCACCGGCCGGCCGCGCCGGTTCGCCACGGAAATATCCGGCTGTGCATGCGAAATAATGGCCGCGTTTAACGGTGTCACTCGCTGCTCGATCACGGCACGGTACGGGTATACGATGGGGCGTGAGCCGATTGAGTAAGAGAATCCGCGCGCGCGCTCCTCTCGTGCGTGAATCCAAAGATAGACATCCCGGCACCGGCCGGCCGCCAGCCGAACCTGACTGCCCCCAATTATAATACGTATACATATATATATATACACACACACACATAGCGCACGCGGCTGTACGACGACGCGAGACGTAAACAACGCGTCGAATGCGTGCGGGACCATCGGCGTGGTGTGTTCACCGCGAATGCGGACGACTTTTTTCATGCATAAAGTCGACGTGTGCCATAACAATCGCTGCATGCATGCGGCGAACCTACCGGTATATCGCGCTCGAAATTTAATCTTGCGACTTCAAAAGTTGTTTGCCTTTTTCTCTTTAATTTTGTGAATTATTGATATTGATTTTTTCTCTCACATACGTATATGTATACACGCGGAGAATTTTCTCTTAGAATTTACCCTGAAAATTATATGGTAATCGTAGGATAATATAGTATTGGGAGAATTTTATAGGACTTTCTCCAATTAATATTTATCACACCAGTAAAATTAATCGATATTTTATATCTTATTGTGGTAGATATATTAATATTTTTATTGTGATAAATATTAATTAGAGAAACTATTATCACGATTGCCATCATGATTTTCAGGAGAAAATGATCTCCGTATAGCTATACGCAATGTTGATTCGTAATCTTGAATAACGAGTTCGTCGATTGGGTTATAGCCACAGAAACGTTTGCCCATCTGGTACTTTGTTTCGTCATTGACCTAGTATCGGAAGACAAAAGCTACGCACAAATATACCGCAGAAATTGTTACGAGTATTACTAGTAATTGGATAATATTACCGAGCGTATTATTAGCGGGAATTACACCGATTGTGTACATATGTATATGTGTGCGTCTATATCCGTATATTTCGAGATTAACGTACAAATATTTGATTAACCGGCGTCTGCGACGCGCAAAGGAAGGTCTCTCGCGGATATGTTTTTCCGTAATAAACCGCGCAATCGGGCCGCATTATCTGTCCCGGGGGCTAACGCTTCCGGCAAATAACTCCGTCTTATCTCTCCGCCGCGCCGGTGTGGAGTTTTAATATCTCCTTGCTTTTCCTCGTTTATCCGCGGAGTGCCAGTTCGTTTGATTGGTGCATGCACGAGAGCCTAACTCTCGTGTCCGTCCAACACAGCTGTCGACAGCCACAAGATGATACTCGACGCATAATTCATCGCTCCAGTTGCTCTCGCCACGTGACAGCAGGTGGCCAATCTCTCTTTCGTCTTTGTCAAGGATATCGCGAAGCTAAAAGCTAAATAGCCCGTCTGCTCAAGTTTATTATTACTTTTCACGGATCGGAAATTTTCGCGACAAGGCGAAACGGATAGCGAACGTTTTACATCCGGTTTAGATCGTCGCGGTTAGCTCGTTTAAAATAGCGGGAAAGAAATATATTCATTGTCGATCGGAGAAAGTTTGCCCCTGGCCATCGATACGATAGCTTTAATCAATTTTATCGCTTCGTGAATATATACAATAATGACATCCTCGTGCTAATCGATGTGTTTATGAAACGGGCAATTAAATTTCTACGAAATGTATATCGAGAAAGTTGTAACGTAGACCGATATTGCGAATGTTTGTACGTAAAACTTTATTATATATATATATACAAAGACAACACATATGCATATGATATATAATTTTGCTTTTATTCAAAACATTTAATTGCCGTATCAAATGTTTGGCAAATTAAATGGAACGTTTGAAACAAAGTAAAATGTACGGTAACGGTAAAAATGCGAATTGCCGGGACAAACTGTCGAACTGTCGAACGTCTGAAACGGTATTCGCGATCGTACGAGAGATTTCTCGACGCTGCGAGCTGAATTATGTCATACGTGCTCGCATCACTTGGTCGGTAAATAGGTTACGCAAGATGGATCGCGGATATCTACTTTGCACGCTATTAAACCAGGCCAGCATCGCCGGCGTGTATGCACGCGTTGTTCGCGAGTAACAGCGAGTCCAAGCGCATGATAAACACAGCACGAGAAAGAGAGAAAAGTCGCTCCAGAAGTGCGCCGGAGCTGCCTGCTCCGTTAAACGTCATGTACTTATATCTCGACACATTTTACCAGACCGGCACGTTTTAAAGTACGCTAATTCACATTTCAAGTGCACGATTCGATTCAAAGAAACACATTTTTTTAATAA